ATATAACCTCTGTTTTCTACTCTCGTGGGCATACCCTTTTTTTTTTTTTTTTTTTTGGGGGGGGGGGAATAAATTGATGGTAGCACCATGAAATTTGTGGCCCTGGCTTCTTTTAAGCTGACAGTCTGACACACTGATTTTTTTGATGAATTTTAGATTTCCAAGAAATAGCTGTGAGCATGTGTTAAAAAGTTTAGTGCAGGGACTAATGCTCTTGGGATGGGCCTTTTTTGTAATAACAATTTGTTCTGTGCTCCCTGGAGAACTATGTGTTCCGCAATCTTTACATCTTTCTTAATTGTTAACCTTCCGTCACAAGGAAAATTTCTCGTCTAACTGTTTTTTTGTTTATGGGTCTGTGAATTGTAGTATGTTCTGGAAGAGCTTAACATAAGATCTCTGGTTCCCTGTGATGATCCATTGAAATATGCATCTCTTCGTGCTGAGCCTGATTTTAGGTATGCATGCTAGACAACTCTCTCTCTCTCTCTGTTGAGGTGGAGGAGTTGAAGTGCTTTTTTATTTGATCTACTTTATCTGGTTTTACTTATGATATGTATCTGTTCTCTTAGTGTGCTTGGCAAGAGGCTTGGCAAATCAATGGGAGTGGTTGCAAAGGAAGTCAAAGCAATGTCCCAGAAAGATATATTAGCATTTGAGGAAGCTGGAGAAGTAACCATTGCTGGCCACTGTTTGAAGCTGGGTGACATTAAGGTTCATTTCTGCGCTAAATTTTTATGCGCATTTAGTTTAAGAGTTTGCTTTTTTTTTGTTTTTTTTTTTTTTTTTTTTTTTTTTTTAATGAAAATGTTGGATGATTATTGTTATTTTGTTGCTTATTTGTTGTGTGATAAAGCATTATAATGGTTATCTTGACCTAGGAATGTAGGAAGCTTTCTGTTTTCATTTAACATGAAGATCAAAATTGAGAGTATATGATTTGCCTGAACTCTTATATGACCGTGTCAAGCAAATTAATATCAACTTAGAGGATACGCAGTCCAAACAATCACACAGAAGTGTTGTTTAATCTGGCAGAAATTAACTAAAATTCTGAACTCAATGAGGATAAAGTTTTATATTGCGTAGAATTTGTTTGTAATTCATAACCCAAAACAAAAATGCAGTCTTATCATGTACTCGCATCTTCTCATTTGTACCCCTAGAATTTACTTTGCGTTACTGAAGTCATCAAATCATTTAAATGTACTATTGTTATGTGAACTTTCAGGTTTTGAGGGATTTCAAACGGCCTGATAATACAACAGAACAGGAAATTGATGCTGCTGGAGATGGTAATAATTATTGTAAATTAATTTAAGGTAAACTTGTTAGTTTGTTGTCATCCCATCTGATAGCTTCAACTCCCTGTGTAGGTGATGTCTTGGTTATTCTTGATTTACATCCCGACGAATCATTGTTTGAGGCTGGAGTAGCTCGTGAGGTATGTTAGTTATAATTCTTAATTTTTGTGTTTTTAGTAAATAAAACATTGACTCGTATATCTGTCTGCTTCATTATTATACCATTCTTCTGCTAATACAAAAGGAATTTAAAGTGGTCTTGTTGTGCCAAGATTTCATTTACAGAATATGCCATGTACTAACAAAATTTACAAGATCCTGTTAAATGTTTTTGTCAGCATTGACATTGTAAGTACACTGTTTCCTTGAAAATTAGTTCCATTTAGAGTTGAGGTTCAATTGACAGGAGCCTATAAAAAGTTAAACTAAAGCTGCAATAAAATTATATCATCCTCATCAATAATTATTTTCCCAAAATCTTAGGTTGTTAATCGCATCCAAAAGTTGCGGAAAAAGGCAAGTCTTGAACCTACCGATGTTGTGGAAGTGTACTTCAGTCCATCAGACAAGGATGCTGCAACCTTGAAGCAGTTTTTGAGTTCACAGGTAACAAGATCCTTGGTTTTTGAAGCATAATTTAAGTTTTTGATGTTTTTTTATTCAGTCTAGCGTGGCTTTGAATTTTTTTTATTAGTTTTTGACTATATTCAATTACTGATTTCCTAGTATTTGATACTGTTAAAATCCTCAAACGAGTATATGCTTTGTTGTGCAGGAACAATACACAAGGGAGGCTATTGGCTCCCCGTTACTGCTTGCAGAATTCATGCCTTCTTATACAGTAAGTATTTCTTTCTTTTTTTTTTTTTTTTTTTTTTTTTTGCTTAGTTTGCAGCTTTTCTTTTATGCATATTGTATAGTTCAACTTTTATGTACTCCCTATGTTTTTATTTTATTTTTAGTGAATGCAACACTTTGACTTGTGCGGAGTTTTATGTGCTTGAGTTGAATTTGTTAAACCTTGTCAAGAGATCGTTTATTTTCATATTTATTTATTAATTTTTTTTATTGCTTGAAGCCTATATGCCTGTAGGATGTAGCCCTACAATTCTATGAAAGATGTTGCAGTTCTTATCAGATTTATTTGAGCATTTGCTACTTGATCTGTACAATTTACAGGTTATTCTCACCGAAGAAACTTTTCACGGTGTATATGACATGTCGTTCACTATTAGTTTGTCAAGGCCAACATTAGTATTCAATGATGAAGCTCTACTCAGTTTATATGAAGGTTTGAGCTCATAGATCCCATAAAAACTATCACTTAACTCTATGTTTAGGCTTGGATCTCACAACACATTTTGCAATTACAGGAAACACGACCTTTGCAAACGGTTTACAGGTTTACCTTAGATCAAGAGATTCTAACAAGCTGAAGTCCGAATTTAATGCCGGAAATGGCAAGGTACTTTTATCTACAATGTCCCTGTGTTTTACTGTAATTTAGATTTCTCTTATTTTTGAGGAAACTGGCTCTGATTTTTTTTCCAATTTTAATATTTTCTCAGATTAGGGTTGACTGCATCAAAGATCAACCAGCAGTGGAAGTATTACTGGGTCAACATGTATTCTTGAGTGTTGGAGATCATTATCTGAGCAGAAAGTCCGGGTGAAAGACAGATTTAAATCAAAACTCTTTTTTTCATTATTTATAATTTTCATTTTTGCGCACATAAATTGCTAACATTCAAGAGTAAGGGTGGTTTGACAAATTATTGTCAATTTTGTAAAATTTCTCAATTAATTGAAAGAAAACGATATTTACTCACATATAGGCCCTGAATTTAATTTATGCTAGTCTCCTTGTCGTAGTTACTTTATAGTTTTAAACCCAAGTGCGTGCTTTTTTCATAAAAGTAAAATTTCTTGACCTCTCAGAAGTCACACCACAGTACTACATTATTAATGGCGGATGTAAAAAGCAAATGAGGTGAATATTTTGGGACTATAATTTGCCCATAAGGAACTACTCCCTCCGCTTTTAAATACTTGCTTCACTTTTCATTTGCGGCTGTTTTTAAATACTTGTTCCATTTCTTTATTTGGAAAGTTTTTACAATATTTAATCAATTTCTCTCATCTAGTGGTCCCAACATATATTCTCTCTCCTCCAGTTCTCTCTACTACTTTTGCTTTTTATAATTTTTTTATTCTTCCACCAACCCCACTACCTCCATATTTTATTACTTTATCTAATTTCTCTTAGCGTATGGAGAAATGGAGTAAGTATTTAAAAACGGAGGGAGTAATATTTAAGGATGGAGGGAGTATTAAATAAATCAAGATCAATTTGACCATTTTTCCCCCTTAAACCTTACGTAATCACAATAGATGGTCAAAGAGAGTTGGCGAATAGTGTAAAAGTCGAAATATTATTGAATGTTGTTGGAGTTGTGGAAAAGGTTGCCAATGAAGAAGAAGGCGATGATGGTTTCCCGAAAGACGTGGAACTACGAGGTAAGGTTCATGTTGATTTGTTTAAGCCTTTGATTCCCGGTTGTTATGTTCCGTTAGATGAAGGGAAAGTGACATGGGTTCAGTTTCGATACGAGGGCGTATTCATGCTTTGTGAAAAATGTGGTTTAGTTGGTCATAATCGGTGTGACTGTCAATTGACAAATTCTGAGGCAGCAAAACAAGTTTATGGTCAAATGGATGGTTTTAAAGAAGAGGGTGGGACTGTGATTCAGGATACGAATGTTCCTCTTTATTCGAATCTAATCGAAGGTCTGCCTAATCGATATCGAAATCGAAACACGAGAGTGAATCTTTTGAACTTAGGATTGGGTAATGGTGGACATGGCAATAACTAGAATGGAGATGATGGTGGTCATTTGAAGGGTTAATTTTATGGTTTGTTAGTTTTTGTGATTAACTTGAATTTCCTCGGATCACTCACATATTAGAAGTGTGACTGTGTGAGTAATTTTGTCTAGTTGGTCTAGTATATCAATGTGTGATTTTTTAATCATCTTTTCTATACTAGATTTTGTACTCATGCTATGTACTTTTTTTTCTTTTTCTAATTAGAAGAATATTTATGTAAGTTCAGGTTCTATGAATTATTAAAAAAAAAAAAAAAAAAAAAAAAAAAAAAAAAAAAAAGTATCCCTAAGGTTTCTAAGATATATTGCCTCTTTTAAAATGTGAATCATGTAATTCTACCATTTGCAAAACAATTTATCAAATATTGGTTTTGTGTTTAATTATTATTGATTTACGTTTGGATAGCTAATGCATGTGAATATGTGATAATAAAGTATTAATTCGGGACAATGACTAAAATGACACACCAACAATGACTTATGGGGTTGTAAAGTTGAGATTTGAATTCGGAAGCTCAATTTCTAATAGAAAAATCAATTCTAGTTCTTTAAATTCTAAGAATACGGGGCTTTATAACATACAAATATAAGCAACTTTCGTGAAAGAATCACCTTAAAATCTTCTATAAGCTTGAAGTTATGGAGTCACAAATTTGGAATAAATAACAAACTTTTATGATTTTTATTTACATGTAATAAAAGGTAGTCATGATTTAAATGTCCTAACAAACAAGTCAAACAGAAATAGAATGAAGTAAAAAGGAATGTAGAGAGTACAAGGAGAAGTAGAAGTGCAAGCTGAGATGAGATGGAAAGAGGCAGAATTGCCAAAAAAAGCCTCTTACTGGTGCAGAAGTCTGATGTCTTTGTGTAAAGAATGATTTTGCAAGAATATTTCAGGTTGAGCTACATAATTCCAATTGCAATGAAACGTTTAATAGATGCAATCGTAGAAATCTCACCAACAATATACATTACCATTTATGTAACCCACTTGCTGGACATAGCTTCCAAATCCTCGTTTTGAAGTTGAGCAATCTTCCCCCCTTTCTTGACCATGGGGGCAACAAAGTCCAGAGAAGTAGCTTTAGTAGCAAGACGAGACCCAGCAAAGAGACCAGCCCATGGATCAGAAGGCAAAGTATCATTTGTTCTACGACTCAAATCTCCTATATTCACAACTTGGCTACACACACGTCTTCATTTTCACTAAAAAACTTTTTTGTCTAACAGATTATTCTCTTTCATATTGCAAACTTCTGATGGTATGATAGCCTTTTGAGAGGGCAACTCAGAGACAAAAAGTAGGGTTTGTGCCCAGCCAGCATATTTCCCATACTTTGCAACAAATGCTTCAGCCACACTGCTGCACATCTTTGATGTAATACGGACACCTGCAAGCTCAGGCATAAGGTACCTTGTAGCAACCTGCCCAAAAAACCGTCAACGATAGAAGCTCAACAAAACAAAAAATGACTTTAACAAAAGAAAATTCAAGAAATTACAAGTGTTTCAACCAAGGAAAGCAAACATCCCTTGATTGATGCGTGCAACTTCTGCAATACTCGGGTACACCCCAACTGCCCAATACTATTTATTTGCACATTCCCTTATTTGGATTTTTGAGCTCTTGAAATGAGCAAATAAACTGAGTGAGTTCTAAGAGCAAAGGAGCATAAAATATTATTGAGTACATAGAGCTAGGTACACCTGTGTCTCTGTGTGCATATTGGAGCTTCTAATTGATGTAATAGTTAATTGAATTCAAATTTAATCATAAATCCTTTTCCTTTAATTATCTGCCAAGTTTATGACTAATTAACCAACAGTGTTTGATTTTTGCAGAGCAAGCAATCAAACTCCCCAAGATACCCTAAACCCCCCAAGATCCAAAAAAACAAAGGGGAACACTTGGGAGCAGGGTCTTGGTTTATAAGGATCCGGTCCAGATGTTAACTATACGCCAACCATTAAAATTAGAAGTCATGAAAGATGAATTAATCTCGCAAAAAAAAAAAAACTGGGTGGAAAAAGCAACCTCTCAGCAGGAAATGAAGATTGTTTTGTCCTCAATACGCCAACTCATGACAAATGCAATAATAATTTATTAAATATAGATCTTGTTCACAACTAGTTTAAGAATTTATAAGCTGGACACTAAGCACTACTCCCTCCGTCCCTAATTGTTTGCTCCACTTGCCTTTTTTGGTTGTCCCTAAAATATTGCCCCATACTATTTTTGGCATCTTTTTCCACTTGCTCTCTCTCTATCTCTCTCCTCATTGATATATGTGTCAATCCATGTGCACTATTTTTTGCCTAAAGCCTTAATAAAGTGATTTTTGTGGTTGGGGCAAATAATTAGGGACTAAGGGAGTATAAGCATAAGCAGAGCATATCCTTCAGCTTTAGCTATCCTATAAATATCTTACTGGAATAATGTATATATGCCAATATATACACTACATATCCATTAAACATTAGAGTTCACACCATGGTTGTGACAACCAACTGAAATTTTGATAAACGTAGACCATATTTGAAAAATACTTGGGAAAGAAAACTCAGCAATCAACACCAAAGGTCCCTTCAGCTTCCAAACACTCCCTCCTATTTATAAGCAGCTAATTGACGCAGACAAGCCACCCTCATGCTGCTTTAGACATGAGAATGAAAATTCTAGTCAGCAAGTAGCCACAGAGTCCCTCATCTATGATGCAACATCACATTTGATCTTGTACTTTATATGCTTTATATGCCTTTTTATTTCTCTTAACTCCCAGTACCTCTCTTAACTCCCAGTACCTCTCTTAACTCTACATACCTTTTTATTTCTACTTTTTTAGTTATTGTCTGTAAGCTTGAGCCTTGCAGACCTTCACGACTCTATATACCCTTTTATTTCTACTCCCTGCTTTTCTGGTTCATCCTAAAAGGACTGTTTCGATTACAAGGTCAAACTTTGAACATTATACCACATTAAAAATTGTGGGATCTTACATGGATGTTATGATAAAATTGGGACAGAGAAAATAAGATTATATGGTGAGGATAAAAGATCATGTGAGTGGGTAGGAATGTGCATAATAAGACTGAAACCAGATGTGATTTTCAAAGAATTAGGGGTTTTCTTGGGGGAGGGGGGGGGAGCAAAAAGGTCCAACAGATCCAACACCATACCAACAAAAATTTATAGGTCTGGTCCCGGGTCCTAGAAAGCTAGATTCCAAATCCAGTAACTGTCCGGTCCGATTGTTTCTGGACCGTATGAGTAGGTTGCGAATAATTCCTTAAGAAGTTTACTAACTGACCAGTCTCATACTCAACTCAATTACTTACTCCTTGCCCACCAGGCCACCACCCATTCTCTCACTCTCACCAGTTTTTTTTTTTTTTTTTTTTTTTTTTTTTTTATTACTTCTTATATTTTTCTCCACCACTTCCTGACCACCGGAAGTTGCCTCAGTATGCAACTCTTGTTTTCAATCAAACATCTTTTCTAATTATTCTGAATGTATTACAAATAAATGTCCCTCTCATTTTTTTTTACGTGTGGTTATTAACACTCCTAAAATCACGCCAATAAGAGACAAGATTGTGCAACATAGAATAACTTAAAGATGATGAATCCATTGTATTGTGAAAAGCGAGAAGTTGGATGTACACAAAGTAAAAAGTACGGATGCATAAAGACTCTTTCCACTATACTCAAAAAGGTGATGACTACTAGACTACTTCATAGTATGGGCTTAGTTCTCCACTTATTGAAATAAGTTTTAGCGATAATAAGTAAAGTTTAGCATAATTAATTTTTGTTTAACAAAATCAAGTAGCAAAAATAAGTTTAGTTTAACAATTATAAGCTTAAGAGAAAAGAGCCACATAAGAAACAAATGATCATCATAGCCTAAAGCTTATAGGATAGTCTCTTCCAACTTTACAATGAGTTTTTAGTATTTGGGAAAGAAGAGGGGAAGAAGTGAGAGAGAAGGAAAAGGAAAGGAAGGAACTAGCAAAAAATATGTGAATGGAAGATGTTGGTTTAGAAGGATTTGGATTCGACAGAAGATTTGGAAGGAAAATCAAAGGGTAGCAAGGTTACAACCTCAAGTCTCACTATGAACTATTCTTATTTATCTGAATGTCAGAGGATTGAAAAATTTAAAAACACCAACTTTTCAACCAATGACAACTTCCATTGATAATTGGGAAATCAGACCAAAACTTCTTGATTTTAAGTATCAAAGGGTACAATATTTCTATCCTTCGAGTCTTCGACGCACCTAAGGCGCACTTGAGGCACACATAGGCAAATTTCTTTAATTGTTGTATGTTGTGCGCCTCACATCAAAGAGGCACACCGACCCGCGGCCAAGGCGCGCCTAGGGGCAGCAGGACCTTCATCGCCTCATTGCCCCTTGAGCCTTTTTATACATTGGTCAGAATTCAGAGAAGATCATCTGCCAACACTGATAGTCCATTTCAATAAGATCAACTGAAGGTTTAATTCGTTTAACTATTAGGTAGACAGCGATGCTAGAAGTATTTGGCTTAGAAAAAGCATCAGGGAGAACACATGACAAGAAACAATTCACCCCCTTTTACTTAGCCCAACCGATTGTTATCCAAACAAAGGAAAATAACCTTCTATTCCTCCCCTCCCCTTCCCTCCAAAACTTCTATTCAACCACAATGTCAGTAAAAAAAAGGCCATAATCACTGACAAATTTACAGTTGTTTACCTTCCAGACATGAGTGTCAACTGGAACTGCATGATGTTGATCCAGGGAGAAGAGAGCTATACATGATGCCACCTTTGGACCCACACCGGGAAAAGTGGAGAGTTCATTTATGACTTCATTAAGGTCCAATTCACGCAAAGAAGAAAGCCACTCAACACCACCACCAGGCTTCAATTGCAGGGCTTTTATTGTGCCAACTATATATTTTGCTCTTTTCAGGCAAATCAATAATAAATGGGACGTCAAATTACATACAATAATGACATGAAAAACTATGCACTCTGACAAAGGTAAGAAGAGGACACATTATTTATTAAAAAAAATAATAATAAGGATGCATAAAGGCACATTGGGAATTGTATAAGTTAATCTAAAAGACTGAAAAAGTATAAAATAAATAAAAACAAAACGGAGGTGATGGCCAAGGCACAGAAGATCAAAGGCAAGATATAACAACTTTTTTATTATGAATTGGCAACCCTCACAATGCCACTTAAATCTTAGGAAGCTCATGTTAGTAATGCATTCACACCAAAAACAATCAAAAACCAAACAATTGATAAAATTTAGTATAAAGCTAATTAGCTCGTGGCATAAAACATAGAACCAAGACTTACACTAGTTTGTTCGCCAATGTAGCAGCAACAATAATGGAGGAGCTCAAAAGATCTCAACTCAAAGTCTCAAACTGGTTAAGTGGCCTTTATAGTGACATCCAACAGTACAAAACCATGACATTCCAACCACAAAAAATCATGATATTTTGACCAATCAATTTTAGTTGAGCATACATGATGTTATAACTTAAAGTTATAACAATAAAAGAAAGCAGAAGAATTCATTTCTGTTTGCAAACCATTTTATCTTCAAGAAAATTAAACGCAAGTGATTCAAGATAAAAGACAAAGAAAGTGACAAACTAATCTAGATGCAAAATAAGGGGAAAACCAACCTATAACCAAAGCCAGCCTCCCTTAGCTCCTCTTCAGAGATCATGGCCAACCGCTCCAATGATGGAAATTGATAAAATTGAAACCCCTCAACACTCCCCAAATGATGACCTAAAGAAGAAATGTAGTCAACCATTCGAGTGATCCTTTGAATGTTATTATTAGACGAACACAAAAACTGAATGAGGCACTCCAAAGGATCCTGCCTAAGCACACGGGCACCAGCTAAATGGGGTGCTAGCTCAGAAAACCTCTGATCGGAGGCTGCAAAACTCTCCCACAAATCAGCAGACGAATACCCACATTGAGAAAATCAAGCAAAGCTAGCTTAGCATCCTCCTCCTCAGTGAAGTTGGAAGTAGAACAGGTAAGTGGATGAAATTGGTAAGCGACATCACCATTTTCAAGGTGCTTCAAGGACACCAAATGAGACTTGACAACTCCAGTGTATTGTAGTGTCCCTGTTTTCTTCCACCTGAAGGTCTGTCCAGTTGGAAAAGTCAGGGGCAAAGACAGCTCTCGTTTCCCCAAATCAAGGGGCACCCATTTATCAGTTGGCAAGTTTTGGATTTTCAGAATTCGAGACAAAGATCTCTTAGGCGGTCTATTTGAAGAGTGAGACAAAGTTTCTGAGTTAAGGTTTGTTTTGGTTTTAGCAAACTGGGTGGTGTCCACATTGCGCGGAGTTGGAGGGGTTGAGGGAGCTGTGCACTTAACAGCAGAACCAGGAGAAGAAAAGGATCTCCTTCGCTTCATGATTGGTGTTACGAGTTTTACAGCGTTTCCTGAAACTGGCAACAAAGCATTGGAGAAGAGTGGTCAATCACTTCATAGTTCATAGCGTATATCCTCCCATCAATCAATCAACGCTTTAATCCCATAAGTGGGGTCAGCTACATGAACAATAATAATATGCTAGTTGTATCACAAATATACAAATCCAATGCACAAATTAACATGCTGATAATTTTGAAATTATCCCAATACTCCATAATAATGGCTCATTGAGCAACAAACATGAAACAATGAAGCACGAGAAAAGTTCCCTTTAAGCATGAAATGATTGAACTTCTTAACTAAGGGAAATTATCCCAACTTTGACATAAATTAAGACAAAAGCAATGACATTATTGTTTCAAATTAACTCGTAATCTTAACTGAAAAATCTATTTCTGGATTCAAAAGTTCAGAACTTATTCAAAATCTCACCAATAAAGAGAAGCAGAAAATAGATTAGAATACTCACTATTGATTCCGGCGACTTCAAGTTAACCTACAAAATCGATGAATTTTCCGAAACCCAGTACGAGCTACCGTTAGAAGTATGCGATTCCAATTTAGTTTGAGCTTGATGGATGAATGAACATTTGAACAAGGAAAAATTAATTGGCATAAAACATGAATATCTCAGGAATTCATCAGCAATGGAGATTATTTGGTTACAGAGTAAAGAAGTGTTTGAGGAGAGGATGAGTAGTAGCAGAACGAGTGGGAATCTGGAAAATGAATGAGTAATTTGGTCTTCATAAAACATTTCCAGCATTTACCGTCTCTGTTTCAAATTATTTGCACGGATTAGACATTTTTTTACTAATACTTTATATCAAATCATTGTAAATACTTTAAAACATACCAAGTACATAATAGTATACTTTTTTAAGTGCATTGCGGGTGTGTTTTTGTACTCCGTATTATTCTACAGTTCAAAAATTGGTAGTTCTGACTATTAATAATTGACGGTTTCAAAATAACTTTTTCATTAAAGAATTAAAAAGAAAAAATTGATAGTGTCAAAATAACTACTCTCTTATTTGACTTTATTTTTATATAATTAAATATTAGTAATGAAAATTATTTTAAAAATTATATTATAAAACTTAATATTAAAATCTACTTAACAACATATTTTATGGTAAAATATATTTTTATTATGCTAGTAAAAAAATTATAATCAAACCTAATGCATGAATAGTGAAAAAAAAGTCCAACGCCTCATGTATTATGGGACGGAAAGGGTATTCCGTTAAAGAATTGAAGAAGAAAAGGTTCAATAGTAGCTTCAATGGAGCTCCCGAGCAGAGGACGATAAACACCCTACCCTTGAAGTTGTTAGTATTTGCCATTGAAATTATTGTTGCTCTCCATTAACGTCACTTTACCTTTATTTCTGATTTACTTAAGATTAACCTTTATTTTAAAGTACAATATGCTTATTACTCCTTCAATTCAAATGGCAAACATAAATTTACATTAGTGCCACAGGAAATTGTTTATCCTAGTGGTTTTTGGTCAATCATTATTAGAGTGGAGAAAAAATGTATGAGTGTAATAGTAATGCTCCTAAATATCCAAATATTTGTAACCTTAAAATTATTTGTTTACATGTGTTCCCTTATTTATATTACCAACAACTAAAGTTAAGAATAAACTGAAGAGCTCTCCAACCGTGAGACTACCCTGAACAACAATGCCTAAATCTAGTTTGACAAGAAAGATGCATCATGCATGAAACAACAACCAAAAAAAAAAAAAAAAAGAGCATTAGAGTGCAATTTACCTAAGAAACCCTAAGTAGAATTATACCCCAAATCAAAAGTACCGTAAGTGGAATTTTGCCAAATTTGAAGCACCCAAAATGAGAATGTTGCAACAATATTTTGTGCAATGTTTATTTCACATAAACCGAGCAGAACAAAAATTCCCCTCATCAATTTGCACATGATGAATTGACAAACTCAAAAACGCATATAGTGCAATTCCAGTCGAAATCAATTAACAGAATTTCTATTACGGAATTCCAAGATTTATCATAATAGCTCATCAGTGATGAGTATGAGTATCACTATTGTCTTCGCCCTTGGCCTTCCTTGCAGCTGCTCTTATCTGACGTTGTTCTTCCTTGTACACCCTGTTCCTTCGTTGAAACTGCAAATTAATCAAACAAATACACTTAAATACGTAGGAAGCCTCAAAATAAAGTATGCCAACAATGTGCCTAACCATGCTACTGTATTTTTGTAGCTTTTATCCTCATCACTTAAATAAATTAGTGGCAAACTGGGTTACACAGTCAAATATAATTAATGTATTAGAAAAGGAGACAGCTTATATGCGTCTTATAATCTAATTAAGATGGAGTATGTGATTTGGGACAAGATGAAAGCTTCTAATGAGAGCCTCCGTCCCCAGATGTACTCTTGGTTGGCAGTCTTGGCACCATCAGTGCAAACTGCATGAGCAGGGATGTTTCCACGATCTGAGCTACCAATGAGGCATTGGCATATTTGGCAATTAGTTAAAGTGGTAACCTCAGATCATGGAAACCAAAAACAGAAAGATAAAAATATATAATAATAACTATAAAGCAAGCATACTATCAAAGGAAGCAAAAGAATTCTCCATTGGCAACCTTCAAAGCCTAGCTGTATAAGTTACAAAACATTACCTAGCTAGCCATAGTCATCAAGAAGATTTATTCTCTTTGTTCCAATAACTATTCAATTTTAGATGTGCCCAAGACTTCGCCTAAATTCTCATGATGAATTGATGACACTAGAAAATTAAATTATAATTGAATGAAGGATTTACAAGAAACTACATCAAGCAGAGGCCACCTTTGTTTTTCATTTCTAAAAATATAATGAGCACTTAAGGGCCATGAACATATATGTATCTTTACATCATTTCAACTGTATTACATATCATTTATGAACTAGGAAGCTCAGATTTTACACCAACACCAACAAAAGGTTGGCTTATACTTCAATCAATCTCAAACATGAATAGATAGCCAGATTTGGTCAGTTATCATAAACCTAGTTTGCTGCATCACTAATGATCTGGTATCAATTTCAGAATTCCCATTCATTTCCTGTAGCCATCTTCAAGAGGAATTTAAAGTTTTACGACTTGTATGATGAACTCACACTCCATCATGTTGAAGTAAACCCGAAAAAACAGGAAATTGTCATCATCAACTGGATTTTCCTACGAACTAATTTATACGTTATTTTTTCCTAAGAAAAACCAAGAAATCATGTATTAAATATTGTAAAGAGTCCAACAAACCCGCGTGGAAAATTTGTGCGCCAATCACATTATACATCAGAAAGAGATAAACTCATAAAGACCCCAAAGACATAAATTCAAAGAGAGGCCAAGGAAACAGCTTTATCCCACAAACAAACCCAATAAGAAGCCTTACTTCCAAAGTCCTTGTCATTCACCCCAATTGAATACCTACTTAATCGCTAGACAAACAGAATCGTCGGGGGTAAGGACAGGTATAACATACTATGGGTCACTTGAACCTGCTTGGATGAGTCCATTAGTTTGCTTCTACTGAAGGATTTTACATAATATACATGAAATGATAACAAATGAGGCCACAAAAACACCTGATTACTAGGTTCAATATAGCATATAGGGGCAATTCTGTAACTTTCTACACCTGCATGCCTCTACACCTGCATGCCTTGCTCTTATAACTGAGAGCTTACATGCTTCTACCAGGTGACACTAGTTACCAGCAACCATCAAACCTCAGAAATCTCAGTTGTTGTGAAAAGGATCCCACCTAATACTGAGCTACTGTAACAGATTCCTGAAAATACATAAGCCATACCTTGGCTAAGGAAATCACTTCCAAAATATGACATTATGAATTCGTACTCCAACATTGTCATTCAGACTATAGATAGAACCCAGAACTAATCTAAACACTAGGCTTCATAGCTTTATATATCTACCATTTATTGCTAAAAAAACTAATTTAGCTTGCTCAAAGACCAACCATGAAAGGGTCCTGTTCTCTCTCCCTTTAAACCACTCTCATTTTCGTCGCCTAAATAGGCTTGTAACATATCTCCGATCACTTTAGATAACGGTCGTTAGTTTGGCAAATGGGATTCATAATGATGTTGACAATATATAAGAGTGCGAGTGAAATAAGGTTCGATTTGGAAATGTTGTTCAACAGGAAAATAAGAAAACCCAAGAGGGGTTAATATTTATAAATTAATTAGACTATATCTGATACTTTGAATAAGATAAGACAATCCAGCTCAAGAAAATTACTGAATTAATAATAAAGATCAAGGCATTTTTCTAAAAATGTTCAATTTCCCTGAATATATAATCACAACAGTGAGTTACTAATGAATTTTTGTATCACTTCATATACATTTAATCTCCAAGCAACTGGAATCAGAAAAGGCTGAAGCTTAAACTCCAAAGAAGTCAGACACCAATCAATTTGACAATTACAAAGCCATAATAGTTTGAATAAATTCGCGATCAGAAATCAAATAAATACCCAAAAAAATTGCAAGCAGCAATCTTCAAAATTGTTAAAAGTGCAACTCCTCAAATCAAATAACAAACAAATACATAATTATAGAACCAAGATCTACTATTCAAAAAAAACAAGAAGAAAATAAGCAGGCAATAATAAAATTAGGGTTTTTATAAGGGGGCAACAATGTAAGAATAGGGGAAATGCAAGATCGGAAATTGAAGAAATGGGGACGAGGAAAGTGAAAAAAAAAAAGGAAAATGAAAATGGAAAAAGAGAGAAAGTAAAAGAAACCTCTTTGGAGTGATGAAGGCATTCAAGGTAATCTTCGCGAAGGAGAGAGCAGTCCTTGGGTTCACGACAACGAGACATACACTCACTGAAGTCAATCCAGAAGTCGTAGCATCTTCCCTTGTTCCCTGATATTCCCCAACCTGACGCCATTGAAACTTTCTCTCTCTTCAACTCGTTTTTCCGGAGGAGAACGATGAATTTTTGGTTTTGGAGGTTTCACTGCACAGACCTGCCAATCTGCTCATCTACTTTGCATCGGGCCGGGTCGGGTCAAATCTACCGTCCAATATTTATTTTTTTTTATCGGAGTATACTAAGGGTCTATTCACATTTACTAAACTGATGTGTGAGAGAAGAAAATTATGAGCTGAACTAACTGAAGCTGAATTCAACTGATTGCAACTGAACAGAACTGAAATTAAGTTGAAACTGAACAGAACTGAAAATAAGTAGAAGTGAACAGGTCAGGCCCTAAGAATCTGTGATGTTCACCTTATTTTCATTTATTTAAGGTGAATTAAATTTAGATAAGTTCAGTTCAGGTGTAATAAGTTTTTAAAAGTTTTGTCCAAGTACAGATTACAACTAAATAAATTTTAATAAGGTCTAATAAGTTCAGATTAGTGAAAATCGGGTTAATAGAATACAAAACAATAAAACTTCTTGTTAAAAAAACGTTTTTGTATCAAATTAAACCTAATTTTCCTAACAATAAGGTGAAGAAAATGTGGTCTTAAATTGGGTAGATTTGTCTCTCACTTTTGCGATTTTACCCCATCTTTCATTTACTTGAAGAAAATATGGTCTTAACTTTGGGTTAATTTCTCCTTTTTTTACTTTTATTATTTTACTTCGTCTTTCATTTAATTGTACAATATTTGATTTTAAATGGAATAGTTCTATAACTTATTATGCTTCATCAAAGTTTAAATTCTTAATTTTCAATTTTAAGCCAAGTTATGTTTGCCCTATTCACTACATTTTCTTTTTACTGAAATAAAATTATTTTTGCTGAAATGAAAATATTCTATTAAAACTAAATTAATTTTATTAAGTTGCTATTATATTTGTTTTTAATGATTTTACGGATTAAAATTTATTTTTACCAAACTAAACTTACATTTATTAAGCTGAAATTAATAGACTTAAATTAGTTTTACGAAATATTATTTGAATAAAGTGTAAGGAATAGGACCTTACTAGTAAAAGTAAAACCAATACTTCCTCAATTTGAATAAAGTGAAAAGGAATTGGGGTTGCAAGTAAAAATATTTACCAAATGTGGAGCAATCTCAAAAGGACACCCAAAAAAATTATGCAAGTACAAAAAAAAACAAGGGATGAAGAGAGTAATTCATTGCCTATAACTAGATGCCCAAAACATCATTTGTTTGTATAAAGAAAACTGAAGTACAAGATTTACAACCAGTAGAACAGGAAGTAGAAACACTTGTATAAGATATTGGTGAACAACTAAACATCCCCAAAAGACTAACTTGCCACAACTTGCCCATTTCAAACAAAAGATGTGACTTGTCTTCATAGAATGAACTAAAGATTCTACGCCCTCAATGAACTTTTTCTTTTTTTTTTTTTAGCAAAAATATGGAAAAGAAACATCCCCTGCAACCTTCAAGTTTGAAAGCAGTATATAATGAGTCTAAATATGACATGTATCACCATGAAAATATGAAATGTGCCTACAATATCTTTGCATTAACATCAATATAAGATTTAAGTCTACGTTGGGAAGAAAAAAAATACAGCAAGAGCCAAAATCAAGAAACTACGGAGTAGGTTAAAATAAAGGAGATCCAGCGACAACTAGAAGGGAATGGATACAATGGGTACAAAAATTACGTCCAGAAAAGGGTAACAGTTCTCATAATCCTTTGCTTGTGTCCTTGTCCTCAGCTACGATTAAACTCCCAAACTCTTCTTACATTGCTTTTGCCTTGGGGGCCTTCTTCTTTACTTGCCGTCTTGGCATAGAATTCTTCATGCCAATGAAGAAAAGCAGAGCGCCAAAAAGTGCCAAATTCTACAAAGTAACAGATTACAGCAATGAGAAACACTAACTGAATTCTAAAGCAGAAAAAGAAAGCAAGCAAGTCTGATGCAGAACTATGTGCATTGTATACATCAGTTAAACCTCACCTGGGTAAACTTGACAAAGAGTTGCGCAAATTCCTTGTGATCAGCATCATAGTTGTAAAAGTCATACAGGATAGGGGTAGCAAGCACTTGGTGCAAAATCTGTATGAATAAACGTACAAGGGAGGTAAGGCAATGTTAAACCATTACACAACTTGGTCAGAGGCTAGAGGCTGAGCACAAAAGAGGGGCAAGATTAATGTCTACTTACGAGAAGATAAGCTCCAAAAGAGCTTCCCAATATGAAAAGAAGACTTCCAAGTCCCTTCAAGGCTATTGAGGCAGCAATTAAATGTTGCATCTGTTAAAAAAAGGGAGATTAGCTTAACAGTGAAAAAAGTATACAGGTAATGATCAGAATGATATTCACGGTGATGCCGTGATGGTAATAAATAAAAGGGCAAAATGAATTTTCACCTCAACTGAAGGCAGTTTAAACCCAGTGTGTGATAGCACATGTTTAGAAAAAGCATTGAACTTTGGACGCAATGCCCTAGCCGCGGGCCCACCGTCAGCACCAAAGTCATTGAACCTACACAAAAAGGAAACAAAGTTATACTGTAAGAACAGCATAATGGTAATGTAGCAGGTCCACAAGCAAAATAACCACCCTAAAAGAAATGGTAGTGTTGCAGATTCATACAAACAGAAAATATGAAAACAGATAATAATGGAGAAATCATAATGTATAGAGAGAGGTTATGCAATTCGTTTGAAATCATAACGTAGAGAGAGAGGTTATACACTTATAAACGAACACCCCTTTTCTTATATGGTAAATTGGTAATGCCACAAACAAACAAAAAATTCAAAATCTTGGGGTACCCAGGTTTTCAATTCCATCTACATCATTTGAACTTTGTGGCTTAACACCCAAAAAAAGACAGTGATTACCTAATCCAGTAACACATGAATTAAGAAAGCTTTCTTAGCTTTGCAATGTATCAACACTTCAGAAGTTCAGATTACTAATCCTTCCCAAAATTTGATCTTAAAATGTCACAAGCATTACAAAGTACATTCATGAAAAGTAGTAAATTCCATAAGGAATTAACCATGAATGAGTAGGTAAGCGTCCAACAGAAATGGGAAAGCATGATCTAAACAAGAGCACAATCACTATTTACAAATGCATTAGTTTATAAATTATAACAATTTCCAAACTCACAAGGTAAAAAACAGGTTACCGAAATATAAAACTAAACCCCTTCTTCGAGTCAGGCAAAGTAACTAAAAAAGCATACACTCCCTTAATTCCCAAAGTTTCTGACTCAATTGTGCATCATTGATCATTAATATTTTTACACATATAAAGCCAAAAATATACAAAGTTAAATTTTGATAATTCACATTGAGACAATAATAATTGAAACTATGCACATCTTTTACATACATTGTAAAATACGGACAAAATTGATTCGAAGAAAGTAAAATGATAACAGTTCTCAATGCTTCTTAAACGATTTACTACCTCCGTTAACATTTACTTGCAACTTTGGGGTATTATTTGAGAGACATAAAATATTCCAAAGTTGCGAGTAAATGTGAACGGAGGTAGTATTAAACTTCCAGGAGAATTCGCGACTAGAGACAAGTCGACAGTAAGTCAATCTAAGTGAAGGAATCATGGAATAACGAAGATCTGACGAGATTAAAGTCAACAATCACATATAGGAGACTGATCTAGATCTTAAATCAGATCAAATCAATCAATTAAATCGTTTTACGACAAATCCAAGCTGTTCTTAGCACTGAGTTCACCTCTAAAATTGAATGCCAAGCATTCATGCAAGTAAACAACACAACTAATAGCATCAGATCAACAAAAATCAAAATCAATTTGCAACAAAGACCTAAATTTCAAATTACATAAAAACGCACATTTCAAATTCCTCAATACTTCAACTTCCTACTCGAAACCCTAAATTCAACAATTACAACAGCAATCTATAGATTAACTCCAAAATAACTCAAATTAAAATAAAAATTAATAATATGAAAACGAAAAAACAAGCAGATCTAAAAGAAAAAACCCAAAAAAACTCACTCTTGCCAAACAGAGAGGATGAAGACAGAAACGAAGAGTACTCGACCAACAAACGACATAAACGCCATTGTTATTGATTGATTTAGTTTCTCTCTCTAAACAGAGTTTTCTCTCTCCTCGATCTAGCCGTAAGATAGAAGACAGAAATTCAATGAAGGAAGAGAGAGAGAAACAGTGAAATTGCCGCTTGAGATTTCAAACGCCTTTTATAAAAATATATATTTAGTGTTTGTCACTTTTTACAAGACCATGAAAATAAAAGTAGGTGGGAAGGAGAAAGAAAGAGATGTTTGCGAGGTTGAGAGAGTGATTGTCACGTGATTTTAATGTGTGAGAGATATTGTGGGGCCTACTAGGTGTTAACACGTCTGACGGACCAATCAGTTTTTTTTTTTAAATGAAAGTTGTGTGACGTGGATGCATGTGGTCGCGAGTGTTGTGGTAGCTTGCTCAAGCGCGTTGTATGAGGTATTGAGTATCCATTGTTTACGATGAATGTTTTAATGCACTTTGGTTTAAATCTTACAACTACGAGCTACGACTAAGGTATACGGGCTTGTTTAAGAGCTAGCCGATCTCGGAGGGAAACATGCATGAGGTGATTATCTTGATAGGCTATTATGCATATCCGGGTGTATCGTATGTTTGGAGTTATTTGTCCATTTAACCAATAAATGAGTAAAAGTATTATTTATTCATTTGTTAATTAAATGAGCAAATGACCCCGAGTGTATGGTACACTCGAGTGTTTATAACAATTTCTAATTTATCTTTGGGTAATAACGTCTTTTGCTTGTAAAAGTAAGGGTTTTTATGTTAGCATAGGGTGGACGAATTTCTGATGTTATATTGACATTAAGTTCACATAACTAAGTATAAATATAATAATCTATTATGAAAAAATATATCAAGTGTGGTTTTTATTAGTTTCGTAATGCTTTTTTATTATTATTATCGCACACAAACACAATAAATTATGTCAAAACTTATTTTGATCTATTCTTAACTTTTGAAATAAGTATAAATAGGTTAAACTCAACTATCCCTAACTATATTAGTATTGTGCGCTATACGATTTTGACCCAACTAATAAAAGATTAATTTTGTTCCAAATACGAATTATTGATAAAATTCGATATTACAATGTAACTTTCATAAAATAACAAAGAGAAGTTTGATAATTAACACCAACAATTATTATTTTTCATTGGTTTTAAAAATATATATATTATTTTTTTACTTTACCACAAACAATGTTCAAAACCTTTAATTTTACCATCAGTTTGCCTAATCGCCCTTGCATAATGTCATTTCCTTCAATTTTCCCCTTCTTCTCTCTATTTCCTTTTTTTTTTTGTTCTTAAGCCTTCATTTTTATGTTTTTTAATTTCCTTTAGTGATGACGGATGCTAACCACCAATTTTTTTTACTCGCAATTTCTTCATTTTTTTATTCTCTCGTTCATATTTCTTTTTCAATTTTTTTTGTTTTAATTTTTTTCAAAAATTATCATTTGATATGTATTTTCACTATATATAAACTAGTTGTTGGTGCGCGCCCCCCCCCCCAACGTAATGCTATGAATGTTATGGGTGATGTTTGGATGCGGTGATTTGGATACGGGTTACAATATGTATGTCAGCACAAATGTAATTTAACAATATTAGTAATGAATTTATATATACACAATGTAGTTATCAACTTAAGCACTTATGGATGCCCCTGTATTACTGGAACTATGTTATAGTTCATGTGGTGGAGTGTTGTATGTGGAAGAACATGTTGGTGTCTACAAAAGGTGTGACTAAGGGCTAGCTCATTTCTCATGGGTAGTTGTAGTGTATTATTTCTTTAAATTGTGTGTGGTTGATTTGTTTTTTTTAAAAAAAAAAAAAAAAAAAAAATTAAAAAAAACAGGGATCAGGAATATTGCAGAACATAGGTACATTCTATCATTGATATTTGTATACAATTTGTTGGGAAGTATGTGCTGCCATACTATATCAATGGTGTAAGGAATATAATCATTTGTAAGTTGACCTATAGGCAAAATAAGCCTGTGCAATATTTGGGCCTTACTGTAAGTCTAGTATTACACGCATAGACATTGAGATATGTGTCTCTTAATTAATTACGTTATTATTCATTTAATAGTATTGTATACTAAGTCTTTTAAACTTCATGAGGCTTTATATACGGTGGTAACGTAGTTGTTGTGAGCTGTTTAAAAAAAAAAAAAAAAAAAAAAACCTTACACATTTTCATTGGATATCTAAAAAGCAATGTGTGAATTTGCACTGTCATTTACCGTTCGTGTAGAAAAAGAGACTTGTGATAAACTGGTAAGACAAAAGTAAGGGTTTGTTGAATTTTGTATATTGCACACTTGTTTTGGTTTTACTTGAATTTGTTTGGGTGTATTTTTTGTGATATGTTTCATGTTGAATGTTTAAAATTGAGAAGGCTTATGCATTGATTGTTGTGTATTGGTTTTGCTTGTTGTTGTTTTTCTGGTTTTTGTTTTTTGTTTAAAGTTTTTTTTCGGCAGAGGAATTGCAATAAGCCTTTGAGTTGTGAATTCTAGGGTTGATGTGATAATTTTTTTTATGAACATGCTGTTAAAATTTGGGCGTAATATAGTATGATTTTGACGAATGGTTTTGCACTGTGAAAATTGAGCGAAACGTAGGAGGGGTAGAGGTGGTTGACAGATACAAACACATTAGAGGTTAGGCTAAAAATATATAGGTGTTGTGGTTGTGCAGTTATTGTAATCTAGTGTTGAGTTTCATTGTATTGAAATGAGAGGTGATTAATATGGAAATTCTGGTATAACCTTTAATTGGATTTTTGGATGTGGAATTGATGATTTGTTTGCTATTGAGTCTCTGCAGTTTTCTAATTGTTCAGCGGTTTAAGAGAGTTGAGTCATTAATTGGTTTTTGTAACATTATAGGTTGTAAGATTTGTATTTTTAGTTTTGTTTTGCATGCTTATATCTACTTACTCGGCGGTTTATATGTTATAGCGTGTTCCTGATGGTTTGGAAGAGGTTTTAGAAGATGGCTTTCTCAACATTGAATTGTTAGTAGACGGTAATGATGAATCTTGGTTTGTTACTCTGTTGCACGAAGAATCTGACAATGGTTGGAAGATGTATCTCGACATAGGGTGGTCAGATTTTATGGATGATAATAGTTTAAATGTTGGCGATGTGCTAATGTTTAAGTACATTAGTAATAATTCTTTTGCGGTTAAAATTATTTACCGCACTGGACCTCCACAGAGTGTGGGAGCAGGACAAACTTATGGATTTGGCAACACTGGCAAGAAGCGTGGCCGTAAGCCAGCTATTGAAGGATGTTCTGAAAAAATGATGGAGGCAAATGCCTGGCTCGATGCACTTGCAGATGTGTGCGGTGAATATTTCTTCAAGTTTTCTTTCACTAAAAAGTACTTCGATCAGGCTATAATTGTAAGTTTTCTATGAAGTTTACTAATATAGCTTGTACACTCTGTGAAGCTTATTTCCATAAGTGTATATTACTGATTTTTTCTGTTGTATGCTTGTGCCTGTTTGCTGCCTGTAACATTTTGATCTTGTGTTTGCAGAATATTCCTCTGCCTTTTGCGAAAGAACATTTCATGGGATTTCCTCCAACAACTGTCGTGGTCTTACAAAATTTTGATAAACAATTTGATGTTGAATTGAAGATTGTGATGAAGAAAAATAAAATCATTCAATGTTCCTTGAAGAATGGAGTCAGAGAGTTCATTGAGTATTACAATGTTCAGGTGGACGAAGTTGGGCTCTTCAAATATAGGGAAGGTCATCCTATAGTGTTTGATGTGGATTTAGTTCTAGTATGATTAGCCAATGAAAAGGGTTTAGGAAGTTCTTTAATAATGTGTATTAAGTTCATAGAAGTTTGTTTTGTTTATCAACTCTATCAACTAAGGCTTGACTAAAATGTGGAATATTGTTAAGCTATGTGGGGCTAAATTGTTATGTAATAGACTGTTTGTAGCTACTATTATATCTACTTTGTTTGGTTTTGTTTTTTTTTTCAAATAACTTATGCACATGTAAATGTGATCTAAATGCGGTTGGTACTTTCTGGTTTAGATTTGAGAATGTATGTTTTGCAAAATCAGTATAGGCAAGTAGTATATGCTTTGTGAGAATGAAACATTGAAACATCTAAAACAACGGTGTTATGCAAGTATTGTATGCCTATGCTATGAATTGTTGCTTCAACACAGAGAAGTAAATCAGTCTAATTGAATGATAGCATGATAGTTAAAATTAATTGCATATAGGTGATTGTAAAGAAAACACAAAACTTTGAATTTTAAAACGCAGGGAAAGTACTAAAATTTACTAATATTATATATAATAATCCTGATTTAAGGATACCAGTACATAGATTATTTTTGCTTCATTAGGCAAAACATGGTAATACTAATTTGTACTATATATGCATACTTGCCAATATGATAGGTGCCTTTTTCCCAAAATACTAATATTACCACTTAAACTTACACTTATATTCTAATGTACCTAGCAGCATTACTACTGATATAACTGGTGTTTATAGGGAACAATATTTGTTCACATTTGTTCCTTCTAAACCCCCAAAAGATTTATGTCTGTCTATAAATCAGGCAGTGTGTAACTTATATATAAAGCAACATTAAGTTTGATCTTACTATCATCATTAGTAGAGGCAAAAGGTGGTGACTATGTATCCTAAGCACTTGAGAGCTTCATGGCTTTTCAGGCTGAGCTGTTGGAGAGCTGAATTCATCAGAACTTTCTTCGACATGGGTGTCTTGAAATAGTGTTGTCTTCACCTTTTTCTTAGGTGGGCTGTCATCAGCAGCTTTACTTGGCTTTGAGTCACAAGAAGTAGATTCTTTTCTCTTTGGTGGGCTACGTTTGCGAGAAATCTTAGTCCAACTTGGAAGTACTTCCTTTGGTGGGGTGCTTATTTCAGGAAGCTGAAGGGGTTCCAAACTTGGCTCAGATAGCAGGAACATGTCCGAATCAAATTTTTGGGAGGCTAAGTTCATTTCTTCTAGCTGAGCAAGTTCAGCAATTCTGGCATCATTCCTGGTTGCTGGATTTTGGGCTGTGGCAGGGTTTGAGTTAAACTCAATCACCAGAGGCTTTTTACCAAGTGCTTATTCTTCGAGTATCATATCTCTCTGCAGCTTCCTCTCTTGTTCTGTTAAGACAGATTCTTCTAAGTCTGTATCCATTGCAGACATTGGTTGTTGTTCTTCTTCAGCTTCCAGTTCAATAGTTTTCAGTGTCCATATGGGTACATTGTTCATTGACAACTCCTTTGTGGGTCCCACCTTGATAAAGAATGGTTTGGTACAAAGGATCTCTTGTATAGTTGCAAAAGCTTCTAAGTTCTCCTGGAACATGTATAAGGTGTTTAGGTATTGCCAGTGTAAGTATTAGTTCAGTAAAAGTGTAGATTTTCCATGCAAATTAGCAAATAAGGGCCAGAATATTAAGAGTATATTTCAATAGAAGCGCAAAATAACTGGTTGTGGTTGATATTAAGAGTGAACATTGCATAATATTAATATTAAGAATGCAAAACAAAGATAAATGAAAGGATTGTTTACAGTATTCTTCATGCTAGAAATCTCAGTTGCTGACTTTCTGAAGAGTTTCTTTGTGTCGTCATTGAAAGTGGTGAATGACATAGTTCCAATGTCATCTATTGCTTCGAACTTGAATGTAACTCTATTGAACAAAGATGGAATGAAGTTAGAAGCAGCTTTAAGTATAGATTGTACAGGTTGGTAAAGCATAGGAATAAGTTACTTGTGAACAGAGGTAGTATCTGTTTTTTTGCAAAGAGTGCAACTATAGCGAGATCCCACAGGAAGATTTGTGCGTTTAGAGCATTCTTGGCAGCCAGCATAGGCATGAATCTTGTTCAGGTCAGCATTTGGTATGGTGACTCTTATCCATGCTATTTCTTCTTGCATAGTATTGGATGGTTGTATTTTTTGCAAAAGAAGATTTTCAGCCGTTAGCAAAAGATAGACACTTTAATATTATTGAATAAAGCTGCTAGTACTGGAGTTAAAATTTGAAACTTTTTGTTTCTCAGCTCTGCAATTGTGTAGATTTTTTTCTCTTCACTGGGGTATCTGACAGTAAGCACTCTAGCCTGCCTATCAAGCAACACTTGTGGGTACACTTTTGCCCTATAATGAAGATATAAATCATGATCGATTTCAGTATATAAGATCAATGTACCATGATAAATGGAATTGTAAGAAATGTACCATTCACGAAGCACATTTGCTCTATCTCCTTGAGGTTCATGAATGAATCGAGTTGACATAGTAGTGCTCAAAATGAATCCTGTAGTAGCACTAACTATTACCTGTTAAATTCATGGAGTGTAATTGTTGTTGTAAAATAGAAGTGTAATAATATGAAAGTAATTAACCTCTAGATGTGTTTTGAGCTCTAAGAGAAGTGAGGCCTACAACATTAAACTTGTCAGCCCAGTTGTTGAGTGCATTGCAGTCATTGAGAGCAAGATCATTCCATGCTGAAATGGTGATAGTTTGATCATGGTTGTTACATAGGTTTGGAAATATATGTGAGCATAACAGTTGAGTGATAAGTAATAAGCCCTGGTAAAAGTAAAAGAGCAATTATTCAAAAGTGAAGTAACCTTGTATCAGTGGCAACTATCTCACGAACTGGACTCTCACGTCCACGTGAATTAGAAATCATGCGTGGCTGTTCCTCAACAAAAAGAACTACTACAACAACATCTAAAGCCAAGGAATATAAGTAGAACTAAGTTAGACATTACATGGTATGATATTATACAGACTGCAATTATTGTATTTAAATGTATACCAAATCTGCTGTCTGGATCAGCTATCCTTGGAATAGTTTACAGAGGCTGATACTTGGGAACAATAGGGCCAGCTTCAGGGTTCAACCTCTGCACAACAGTTTGCTGTCCAATAGTCATTTGGAAGGGAAGTTCTTCAAGGTTGAACTTGAACTGATCATCCACAATGCCTATGGAAGCCTTGGATATTTCATATTGTCTAGTGGGTTTCAGGATCTCCTCATAGGCCTTTATCTGTTCTCCAAAAAGAGCACAACGCATCTTGTTTTTCTATGAGTCGATTGGAAGTGAAACACAAAGAGTAACACATGGTTAGAATAACACATGGTTGGAATTAAACACAAGCAATTTCAGCTATATAGTTCTTGGTTGGAGTTGACCATATAAAGGCAACTCTACTAAGGCATTCATATATAATTACACTTATTGAATCCTTGGTCAAAATGAAGATTGTATAGATTTTATACAATTTTCCATCTTTCAGTATACACAATTACTATAATATGAATCGGATATAATTACCTAATAGGATATTGCTACAGATTTCATATTCCAGTTCTTTTTAGCATAACATGACTTCTGAAAAAATGCTCCAACACAAGGATTTTACACAAACACCCATGTATAAGTGGGATTTGAATAATAAAGTAGAAAGTAGAAGCAGACTCATCTTCTCATCTTCCATGATGAGAGTTTGGAAGACTAATCCAGGCTTTTTTTGCGATTCTCGAGGACGACCCTTTTCAGTAACTGTAACTCTGACCTTGTAATCCTTGCTCTGAGTATTCAGTTCATCCAAATAAACTGGTTCAAGCTTCATATTGAAGATCAGTTACATTCTGAAATAACCCAGAATCAGTACTGGTACAACTATATATATAGATTTACAACAGAGCTTTTAAAAAGGTGCATAGATTCGTGATAAAGAATTATTTTGCTTGATTGAAACGAATAATGTTAAATATAGTGGTGTTAACAGCAAACTATGCAAGTGATCCAAACGATCTGTAACTTGTAAATCTCATTACATGCAAAATAACAAAACATGTACTCCAATTTCAGAAATTCAGCTACTATGAATCTTAGAAAAACACTTCTTAATAGTAGTTTAACAATGTTTGATGCAGGCAGGTGTTACAGTCAGAAGGGCTAATATATTTTCACACTAATGATATTATCCGTTTTAAAAAATATAACCAATAGCTTTCTATTGTTTAGTATGTATTTCATGCAGAAGATTCCTAGGCTCAGAATATTCTATGTAGATTGTACATAGTCATAAATATTCATGTAAGAAACCTTAAAAGAATTCAATTTGCAGTATTTAATAAGTAGAGTCTATTAAAAGTAATTTACAATATGCAGAACATATTCCAAAGACATATTCTCAGAAAGCAGAATAGCATTTACATTAACATGCATAAAAAAAAAGTTATTAAAACAACAGACATTCAGCCATCTAAATATTTTGCAAAACAGATTCTACAATAGATGGTAGGCTATTTTCCTAATCTAGCATGCATTTATGTTATGCTTTTTTTTTTTTTTTTTTGTTTTATTTTCACATTTTACAACTTAAGTGGTTATTATGTTTACAGCAGCAAGCAGATGCTAAAATTGAACATGCAGTATAGCAATGGAATTAAGAATTACATTTCTAACTTGAAAGAATTTTAAGGTAGGAGTACTTTTAGAGGAAAAGTGAAATTGCAAGGCTGGAAAGGTGATTTTTGGGCAAAATTTAGATTGATATATATAGTAAAAATTAGGACAAAGTAATAGCTAAGTAATCAAATGAACAAGCTTGACACTGAACAAATCTAAGAACAGTAACACGTCCATAGTCAAGAGTGATTTCAACAGTAGCATAGTACATATAAATGTTTTTTTTTGCCAAATTCTGCAATTCTTCTTTGTTTTTTTTTTTAAAAAATCTTGTCCGTGCTATGCGTGCCTCTGTTGTTTTCATCTTCTATGTTTGATAATTGATTTTTTTTTATTGCCCTTTGTGTTTTTGATTATTTTTTTTTTGCCTTTTTAAATTATGTAAAAGTGGGTATTGGTCACCTACTTATATAAGTAATGTCAACTTCAAACAGTAAAAAGTATGGCTTGCAAAGATGCAATGTACTTAATTTAAAGAAATAGTAACTAATATAAATAATATAATCTATAACTAACATATATAAAAGCCCCAAGCACCCTTACTATTCCCCATTTTACTGTTCCTTATGTACAGGGAAATGACCCGCTTGCCCTCAACCCCTTTTTCTGATTTATAACATATATATATTATAATAACATATATAAAAGCCCCAAGCACCCTTACTATTCCCCATTTTACTGTTCCTTATGAACAGGGAAATGACCCGCTTGCCCTCAGTCCCTTTTTCTGATTTATAACATAACATATATAAAAGCCCAAGCACCCTTACTATTCCCCATTTTACTGTTCCTTATGAACAGGGAAATGACCCGCTTGCCCTCAGCCCCTTTTTCTGATTGACCAAATTGCCAGGGCTGTTTTGGTCATTTCCTTTTGGCATTCTAGTTGTTTCTTGGCCCCTACCTTTTGCTTTACTGCCCACGCTCAGTTGCCCCCATTTCTCTCTCTTACCTGCTTTTGCTTCTCCTCAGTCCTCATCCTCACATCTCCTGCTTTGATTTTGCTTTATTTCATTTTTTATCTTCAACCAATCCAACTGATCAGTTTTGTTTGCTCACAGCCTTCTCGATACTTCTCTTATGGGTACGATCTTCTTCTTCAATTTTTGTTTTCAATTTTTTCTAATTTTATTTGCTTGTGAAATGATGAAATGGGATTTTTGTTTTGTATTGTATTCTGGTATGAAATAGGGGTTTTGTTCTGTATTTTTCTGATTATATTTGCTGGTGAATCGATGAAACAGGTTAATTGAGTTGTTCGATTTTTTATTTTTGCTAACTATTTTTATGATTAAATTGGTAGTTGAATGATCATAGAACTTAAATTGTTATTAGTAATCAATTTTCAGTTTGGTTTTTGTGGCCATTTCTCAGGTTTGGGTCCAACAATGGTTGGGATGCTGAGTTTTGTAAATTTTTGTTATTCTGATTTTTCTGTCAATGGGATGCCCTAGCTGTTACACCTCGCATTCCTCTCTCTCCTCATCACCACCATCGGATTTCCTCTCGCTCATTTCCAGCGTTCATCTCCGACGCTCCTATCAACCTCTTCGTCTTCGCCGCTCTCTCACCTGCTCCGCTATTTCTTCTCCTTCTCTTGGTACTTTCGTATTCAATTGATTGATTTTTTTTTTATTTGTGAATATTTATTTAATTTGTTGTGTGTGGTTAATTGATTGTTTGATTAAACAACACGGTGAAGAATTCGGCGGAATTCATTGAAGCTGCTAAATAATTCTGTTATATCGATGTATTTTTTCCAATCTCTGTTAGTTTAGTAAGAATATGCAAGTTTGACATTGACTTTTGGTGATACCCCTTTAGCACTTGCTCACCAGTTACTATACTTATCAGAGTAAAGCAAATTGGAAATTAAACACAGAAGAATATGTAGTTCGTTGTTGTTGCAAGTCTGCAACTAAAAGATATAGCTTTCAAAGTACGGCACAGACAACAACGAAGTAAGATTACTCTAAAATGGTGGTAGATGAAATGACTTGGGGGGAGGGGGGATAATGCAGATGATGGGGAAATTGAAGGATAAGTGGTGGAAGCTAACCTGAACTATTGTAAGAAAGCAAGATGATGATGATGGAGCTAGAATTTGAGTTTAGTTGAACTACTAATAAATAAATCAGGAAATATTACTAGATGATGGTTATTGGATTAATAAGTATTGATGATCTCTTTCTGTTATATTGGTTTAATAAAGATTTGAATTTTATCCACAAAAGTAGGGGAAGAGAAATTCTTGCTTAAATTCTACTTTAAATTTGTCTCTGAAGTGATATGTTTCAAGCTTCTACCCCCCTTTCTTCAAACAGGCTCTAAGTTTTTTCTCCTGCCTAATTTTAATATTTTGGTCTTGTCTCTTGATACCAACGGGTTGGAACTGCTGTTGTTACCAGAAGTGATGATGGGAAAATGGCACTTGGAAGACTATGTGCACTTTGTGAGCAGGTGAAGGAACTGCTATCTTTTTTCAAATTTTACCCTGGTTGAGTATCCATAAGTTCTTTCACCTTTCTTGTATCTGGTAGAGCTTACTCAATCTTAATCATTTGTTATTGCGTAGAAAGGGGGATATCTCAAGATATTTAGTGAATCAGAAATCACTTGATCATTCTCAACCATTTAGTGGATTGAATTTTTTAACTAATGAAGTGGGTGCTTATTTTGCTGTAAGGGGACCATTTGTCTTCAATGGAGATGTTTAGTATGTTTTCATTACATATTATTCTAAGATTATAATTTATTAGTTATCTTATTTACGAGGAAAAGAAAACGGAATCAAATTAATGTGCAATTTGATTATTTTGTAGAATTGGGTTTCGAAGGAAGTCCGTCAATGGTGATTGTAAATTTTACTATGCTTCTAGGCAATTCCCCTTATTTCTCCTCCTCCGATCGTGCTTATTGTAACTCTCGGGTAATTTCTTTCTCTCTATTTTTCTAAATTTCAAGTTTTCTAAGCGGTTGCTATTTTTTCCCCCAAATTTAAACCATGGAGCATGTTTGAGTGAGCTTGGTAATTGATTTCACAAGCGTGATTATGTTAGAATCTATAACATAAGGGTAATTGATTTCCCCCAAATGTTAAGGGGAATGACTCAATTACTATCATGGGTGTATTTTGCATGAGATTTGCAGTTTTTAATTTAATTTTTGCAAAGAAATGTTTTTTAATATTAAAGTGGGGTTTTCTGCAAAATTGTATGGATCAGTTTTGCTAATTTAGTTTTCGAAGAAAATTGTTGGTTTGATTGTTATTTGGTAGCTGTTAATCCGGTTTTGCGCTATTTGGGTGATTTTTGAAATGGAGCATTATGAAGGTTAAAATGAAAGGGTAAATTTAGGCCATACCAAATGTTATTCGAATTGTGTACCATTACTTTATGTTTGATTTGTTGAAGTTTGAATATTTCTTTGTGTTGCTAAGATCATTGCTTAAGAATTGTTTTAAATAATTAGTGAGTTGGGTTGATTTATTATTATTATAATATAAATTTTATTATTTTGAAATTCATTATAAATAATAGTGTAGGGTTAATTACATGTTAGTTTGACTCTCATGAAAGTGAATAAATAACTAAATATTGCCAAATTTAGAAATTATAGAATCAAACCCTGGCACCTTGCTATTCTATGCATAAAATTACAGTCTTACCTTGATTTTTTCAGGACATCTCAATTAACCATGCATTATGAAATTGGTTGATAATGTTATAAAATAAATTGACAGTATCCTTATTCTATAAAGCTAAGAATTTCACTAAGTAGAAGTCTTGGACTGACATTTGGTTGAAAGATTTAGTAAGGAGCAAAAAACAGAAAAGAAAGAAGGTGAAACCATGTCATGATGTGGGATAACATTAGAAAGCCTTCAGGGTGAGATTTTAATTTTAAAATTTTATTATTTTCAAATTAACTTTATAAATTATTTTATAAAAGCTCAGAAAATATAATTTATGGATCAGTTCCCTCAAAAACTCTAACCTAAGGGCTTTAATGTTATTAACGAGCTCTTGCTAAGTATTCTGCAGCAGGATTCTCTATGAGTAGTGGTTTTGGTTGATATTATAGATCATCTTGCTTTACTACAAACAAGTGGATGACACATTTGTGTATTTGATCATTTTCTACTGTAAATATTAGTTTGAGTATCATGATTGAAGTTTGTAGACAAATTAGAAGGGAGGCAAGCTATTACGTGTTGCCTTTGTGTCCTTAGATGAACTTAACTTTCAGGATGCATGTAACTGGTCTTGTGTGATATGAAGATTCACAGTTTATTTGCTGCTTCTAACCCTAATAATTTTGCCATCAAGGAGGTTGTGTCAGTCTGCTCAACATGAACCTACCTGCAGCAAGCTACGCAGCCAAGAACTTCTTCCAAAGGTTTAATTGCCACAGAGTTGAAAAAGAGAACAGCAACAGGATGGATATGAAATCACATCCTGGAAAATTAAATCCTGATAGTGACAAGTGCAGGTGAAGATCTCTAATATAAATGCTCCCCTAATTTGTCATTTGCAACTTAATAAATTTATTTTTGATGCAAGTATAACAAGTGGCAGCAGAAGTGTAGGGTATGAGAGTCCTTCGTGAGATCGGCTTGTGTATCTGACAACCTGTGTAATCGGATATCATGTAAAGTCCAGGTTAAAATGGATAGGTGTAATATGGAATTTTCCATGCTGCAAGTGCCGATAAAGATTTTGGTAAGTTTCATAGATGTGAATCATTAGTATTTCATGCCTTTCTACTGTCATACAACACTGCAAAATTTACTGTTGTGGGAACATTGCCTCATGACATTTCCTTTTGGTTCATTCTCAGGGGCTGTCTTGAAAATGGCTCGATTGGTAAAGGATGTCTCTCTTAAGGCACAAAAGGTTACCTCTGATTCAGCTGTCAAGGCTCCATAAAAAAACTCTTATAATACCAGCTAATTTGTGCAAATTGTGGCTAAGGTCTTCGTCCGCACTCTTCATGTTATAGGTTTCTATGTACAGGAAATGTATGATTGAATCAGGTATAAATTATTGTTTATTTAATTGAATAAGGGATTTACCATGATTGGCCAGCAATATTGGTGTTATGCGGCCTGTGGTGGTGAGTATACTCTAATAAGACATGGCCTTTGCTTGAAGGGATTTTCCCTTTCTTAAATTAGGTGCGAGATTAGGTGGGGGAATTGGAAGGATGAATTTGGCTTTGTGTTAGCTGACATTTTGAAGCAATATGAAATATTTTTCGATGATTTATTACTCTACGCACTAATTTTTTAGGTTAATTCCAGTGTGGGTACATGTGGTTTCAAACAATATATGTGAATTTTAAGCTGCTACTTTCTGTGTTTATGCTTTTCTGATTTTGTAGGATTTTTGCTACTTTGTATTTTGATTACAGATAATTAATGTTCATGGGGCATTAAAATAAATAATCTGTTCTGAAATGGGCTTTTCCTTTCTAAAATTAGGTGGGGGATTGGAAGGATGAATTTGGCTTCATGTTAGCTGACATTTTGAAGCAAAATAAAGTAAATAATTCAGGCATGAGATTTGAGCCTGCGGTAAGGACAGCGGATTTCGATAGGTTTATAGCTGAGTATGAGAGTGATCGTACTTCTTATTGTTGGTCTACTATGATTAATTTCAGGGCAAATGAGGAGATCGAGAAGGAGGCTCTTTACCGAGTTCAAGCTCAAAAAAATTCTGAAAAGTCAAAAGAGTTCAAGCTCTTCACTCTTTTGTGGGGTGTGCTGCAGAACAACGTCATTGATGCTTTGTGTTAAATCTTGTATTTTATAACTTAAGTAGCAATTACATTTGAGTGAACATGTGCAATTTTTCATGATTTCCCCTCCTTTTTCCCTTCTGCATTGTTATGAGAATTTCCTTAACATAGTTAGTAATTGAAATTGAAGTAGCATTCATTATTATTAAAGGATTGTAGAGTTAATATTTTTCCCTCCAATTGCCTTGATCGCACCATCCATTTTGTTAATCCCCCAATCACCTTAATCGCACTACCCAATGTGCCAATCTTCCACTCAATTTTCCAATCGCCTTGATTGCACCATCTTTGTCAATCCTCCAATCACCTTGATCGCACCACCCAATTTTACATAATGATAAATTAATACTTTACTACAATTGTTGTCCATGTCAAAAATATTTGGTAGTGCTTGAATTACTTTACAGTTTGTTTACAATTTAAAATTTGAAGAATTAAATCTAATTCTTCTAAATTATTAATTTAATTTACTTATTCCATTTCCAGAGGTCAATTTCTATTCATATAAATAATGGTTTCAGGATCACACTTTATTTTATTCTAATAATGGATAATTTGACATTATATTATAAGCCACTCCAATTTTACTTCAAGCATTAGTTATGTGCAATTTAGGTAATGAGGATCAAGCCTGATGATTACAGAAAGAAAGGAATACTCGAGGATGTTCACCAAAAAAACAAGACTATATTCAAGAAAATGTTAGGGGAAAACTGTAATGATTTGATTAGTTGATAATAAAGCTATTACAATACTAAAACTATATTAATAGCCATTTCTTACAATCTTTTTGTTATAAAAAATGCTAAATATCTTGACAACCATTCCCCTTAACAGCATGCTCATATGCCTACTGCGTGCCATCCGATGCTACCCACTTTAGCCTCTATGCCTGCATCATTATGTATAATAACATAACTAAAGTGAGCATTAGCAAAATTAAATTTCATTAACACATAAACTATAACTAACTACACACTAATCATGGAGACGAAATCACATTGGGGGACCGCGCGCGTAGCGCGCGAGCCAACAACTAGTATATACAAGTATAAGATTATCTCAATTAATTTAAGTCATCATGTAACAAGACTAATAGCCGTCATATAAAGTTGTAAATTTCCATCATGTTTATATATTTTTATATCAAAATTTCTTCCATCTTACCACGTGATTAATTGAGAAGTTAATGATAGAGTATAAAGCATATTCCTGGGCCTCAACCATCAGCTTAAGCTTTTGGTTGAGATGGTCCGTTAACAGTTAATCAAGCAAGTAAATATCACATAAATTAAATTCATTGATTACAAGCAATAATAAGTATTCTTGTGAAGGGCTTCAGAATATTTCATTGTCTTTTCGCAGATATGTCTTCAATATTAAACAGATAATTTTTTGTTGTTTTGTTCTTCAAACATAAATTATATGGTTAAATACTTAAATATATACAAGTGTTAGTTTACCCGGTCACCAATATCTAGTTGGGTCCCTTAACATCGATCCTCCTCAATTAGGGTACATTACTACTAATTAATTATTTAAATCTAATAAATACAATTTACAAATATTAAACTAATATTATAATGCTAAATTATGTTCTACTATCATTTTCATTTATGTGGATAACTTACATTATGTATGTAATGTCTTTTGTGTATATTATGTCTGCCAATTGCCATGAAAAGTCGGCAAGCAAGTGGTCCAATTTTATGTCAAAGTATGTAGTAGAACCATTAGTTATTGGAGCTAGATACTGTATTAAATAAATGGGTGATAATAATTGTCTTCGTCCCTAAATTACATTCCCGTTTTCCTCTATTATTTGAGGAATAAATGCTAGAAATAGGAATATAATTGTCTCCATCCCTAAATTACATTCCATAATTTATTTAAATACTTTTTTGGCGTAATTTTATCTTAGCACTTCATTCTTCATTGAGCTTCTTGTTGGTAAAATAATTGTTGAAATCAATAACAAACAAAAAGATTAGAACTTTCCTGGATTGAAGATCTCAAACTCACAGTCGCGCCGTGGAAAAAAATCCACTGCCTTAGAAGCGAAATACGCCACCACCGGTACAAGTTTCCTAGTGACGCACGCCCCCCAAGTTTAACGCTACTCTCTCCGTAATCCGTGCACCCGAACTCGAAGAGTGGAATTGCTCAAAAACTGTTCAGATCTCAAAAGGTAGGTTTGTGTTTTCGGTTAGAAAGTGAATGAATCTCATGAAAAGGCAAGACTCGTATTTATATGAGTCCCGAAAAAGGAAACACGCAAAGCAAACCGACCCAGGAAAAAAGGCGGGCCCGATCGGGCAAGCTGCCGCCCGATCGGGCGCGAGATCGAGTTTCTCCAGACGTAGTGTCGCACCCGGTCGGGCGATCTAAAAACCCCATCCCGGGTGAGCCATCGGGCAAAGCCGCCCGATCAGGCTCGTCAAAAACTCGAGTCCGCCGCCCGGTCGGGCGCGAGAGTTCTCGTCAAAAACTCTTGTCCGCCGCCCGGTCAGGCGAAGGCCGCCCGATCGGGCGCGAGAGTTCTCTTATTTTCCTTGATCACCTCCGCCCGATCGGGCGCGAGTCATCTGTTTGCATTACCTATTTCCAACAATCCCCCACTAATGCGAGCGGATCTTCAACATGAAATCTGAACAGTAAATGAAATTCTTAGTACTTAAATGCTAGTAAGTATAAAACATTTATTCCTTTCTTAATATAAAATCCTTTCAAATTGTGTTCACTTTAACACTCATAACTTTACTTTGTATGAATATGATCCAAAAAGCTCTCACAAAATATGATTGAATGAGACAATTTAATAGGACGAACAAGTATTTACTCGTAACTACTATATCTATTTAAATCATCGTTCAATCTTTATCTTCCAATCCATCCAACCACATTAAGTAAATAAATAGTCATTTTCTCTATTCTCATCATGTCTTCAAAGTTCAAACTTAGGAGCAAACGTTGTCTCTACTTGACTCCAATTCAATTTTTTATAAAGGTAAGAAGAAGAGGGGCCGGAACTTTTCACAAGTCAATCCATTTCGGGTTAGAGGATCGGAATAGTCCCTTTAAGAATGGAGGGATAAGGAAATCAGCACACCTCAAAGGCCCAAAGTGCCTATCCTTCTAACCCGAATACTCCATTTGTCCAATAATATCTGCATGTCTTGTTAAAATAAATATACTCCCTAAGTCCGATTGTCCCTTAATCGTTGACCCATTTGGCCAAATATAGTTCGAAAATGATCATTTCATTTCACATTTAAATACTGAGTACCCTCTAATTTGGAAAAAAATATTTGTGTAAAATTAACTTCTCCACGTAAATTTTGTTTTTCTATGTACTTTTATTACTTTTTCTCTCTAATTTTTGCAACCCTCGATGAATTTAATTTATTTTAATTTTCCAATTTACTTTTTACTACTCACTAGTGGAAAAAATCTCATTCGTAACAGGCTATTTGTAACGGGCAAAGCTTTGCCCGTTACAATTAAGATATTCGTAACGGGCAAAATAGTGTCCGTTACGAATACTTATTTATTTGTAACGGGCAAAATAGTGTCCGTTACGAATACGTATGTATTCGTAACGGACAGATTAGTGCCCGTTACGAATACGTATGTATTCGTAACGGACAAATTAGTGCCCGTTACGAATACTTATTTATTCGTAACGGACACTATTTTTCCCGTTACGAATACTATATTACATGTAACAGGCGTATTTTGCCCGATACAAATGCCCAAACTTGGCCCAACGATGAGAGGAGCCCATTACTTGGCTTTTTATTAGGGTTTCACCTAATGGCCGCATTCCCCTCTTTCTCTGTCATTTCACACTCACTCACTCACTCTCTCTCTCTCCTCTCCTTCAATCTTCTCGTCTCCTTCAATCTTCCCCGTACCTCTTTTTCTCTCATACTCAGTCCCTCTCTTCTCTCCTCTCCTCCATCAATCTTCCCCTTCCATTCATGACGAAATAGAACGAGGAGAGACAATAAATGGTTAAATTGGGGGTTTCACCTCTTTCGATCTAAACCCTCGTTCTATTTTCCCCTTCATCGGAGATCCCAAACGACCTCATACTCATCTCACTCGTACTGCTTGTATTCTGCAGGTTTGTGTGGTTTCTTTATTTTTTTTTGTTTTTGTGACGTTTTTTAGGGTTTAGATGCTCAATTTTGAAGAGATCTGTCCGAATTGTTTTCTATCTAAAAATTTAATTCTTTTTATTTTTGTGCTGTTTTTGGAATTTGATGATATATTGTGAAAATTTTTTGTCTCGAAGTTGAATTTTGTTGTAATTTGAATGATTAAGGATTGATTTTATTTGATAATGGTTGTGATTTGCATCAGATTTTGGTAGCGAATGTGCGATTATTTTGTCGTGTTTTGAGTGAGTTGTTTGTATAATGTAAGGTTTTTGAGTTGGTGGATCATGAAAGTGGAATTGAGATTTTGTTGAACAGAGCATAAGTGGTCATTTTTGTTGTGCTGAATCTGAGCTTTCTGAATTGCTTTTGCATAGATCTGTCCGAATTGCTTTTGATCTTAAAATTTAATTCGATTTGTATTTGTTATTTTTATTGTCTTCATTTTTTTTTCCTGAATGAATGTCTTCATACCATTGGGAGAATTAACTGAAACAAAAAAAAGGTGTATACATAAACACAAAGTTGAATGAAACAAATAAGACTGGACATGAATTGAGTCCTTTGTGAAACAGAAAATCAGAGTAATTTCCTTTTTTTTTTTAATTTATTATTTTATATATATATATATATATTTATGACAATTTCCTTGAATTTTAATCATATGGAATGTCATAAGGTATGTGAAATACATATTACACTTATTCGAACCAGTATGAATCTATTGGCACTTATGTTTTGAGTGTTACTTATGCTTGCTACTTCCTTATGTTCTGTGATTTTGATGATGTTTAGATAATACTAGTATTTTTATATTAGACCCTAAAGGCTGATGCTTCAATTCAATTGTGTATGTTTCGGAGAAGATGATGAAGCAGAGGCTATCCCTCTCTGAATTTGAACAATGTTAAGCGCGAGGAAGAAAAGGATAGATGACGAAGAAAAGGATACCAAGTTGCAACTCTGATGGTGGAAGATGTAAATTTTTTTTATTTTTGAAGGCAAGATGTAAATTATTTAATACAGTACAAATTTAAAGGGAAATTACAGTAATCTTGTTTTATTATTATAACAATCAGGATTTGTTTTTGCTCTTTTTATTTTGTTTTGTTTGATTGCATAATTTATGTGTATTTAAAATGAATAAAATATGGTTTTAATAAATAAAAATAAAAAAGTAAAAAAATATAAAATTTTCTAGTTCATTGATAAAATGGTCCAGCATGTGCTGGAATTTTTTTTTTTTTTAATTTGGATCTCACACTAATCGTAACGGGCAAATATAATGCCCGTTACAAATAACCCGTTATTCGTAACGGACAAAATAAGTGCCCGTTACAAATAACCCGTTATTCATAACGGGCATTTTACATGTCCGTTACAAATAACCCGTTATTCATAACGGACACTTATTTTGTCCGTTACGAATAACGGGTTATTTGTAACGGGCACTTATTTTGTCCGTTACGAATAACGGGTTATTTGTAACGGACACTGCCATTACATGTACCATTGGCTTCCATTTGTCTAACTCTCCCAACATCTCCCAACAACCAATTAAACCAAAGCGTGAACCATTACATGTACCTCTATATATTTCATGAGGTTCGGTCATTTCATCATGAGTGTTGGTACCACTCCTATACCTTTTTTTCGCTTCACTATACCAACCAACCCATATACTCACATCTTTATTTATTCTTGCCCACTGACTTTTAATAGATCTTAAAGTTCTAGGGCGCATGGTGGATGGATTTTCTTCTCTGGCTTGATCATAAAGGGATTTTATGTTCCTCCACGTTACGGCCAAACTTTGATCAGTTGCCGTCTCTGGATCTTCAACTGCACATTCTACCCAAGCCGAAACGAGGGCATCATCTTCTTTTGCACCCCATTTTTCTGCCCTAACATTAGTGTTGCTCCCGTGGGGACCTTGAACAACATCATCATCACCAACACCATCAGCATCATCATTGGCTTGTTGTGGAACCCTTGGATCATCGGGTGGGGTTAAGTTACCGCTTCTTTCTCCCTCGGGAGTTGCTGGACTGTTTTGAATTATTTGGTTCACACCATAATGCTGCGACGTTGGGAACATAAAACCAGAAGGATAATTTTGGGGAATTTGTTGCAAATTTTGGTTTAAAAATTGGTTTGAGAATTGTTGGGTGTAATTTTGGTTTGGAAATTAATTTGGGAATTGTTGTACAAATTGTTGGTTTGGATGCGTTGGTTGGTTAGGAATGCTATAAAATAACATCCTTTGAGAATTTGGATTATTAGGGTTATTTGGATCAAAATGAAAATTACTTTGAAAATTTGGAGAATTGGAAGATTGGTTATTTGGATTATTTTGAGAGGAACCACTTCCGTAATTAGGATTATTAAGATCCATAATCACAAAATATTTTTATAATGAAAAAAAGAAGAGTGAAATTTTAAGGGTGAAAAACTATATCAATATTAGGCTCTATTTATAGATAAAAATATAATTATACCGTTGGTGAAATTATTTTTTGGAAATATGTTTAAATGAAGTGAAAAATTACCATTAGAGTAATAATATCAACACGAAAGTGCTCCAAATAATAGAGCCGTTGGACTAAAACAACATCTTATGCAAATGTTCAGCAATTTGGATGAGTTGTCATGTGGTAATTGGACCAACAAATAAATATGAGATTCCTTTATAAAAGAGTTAGCAAAACCCATGCATATGTTAGTTACTCATCAGAGCATCAGCAGACGTTGCTTCCCCTCTTTGTGAGTATGTAACGAGTCACCGTATGCAATGGTAAGGTAGCTCAGAAGAAGAGAGATAGTGTTGTGAGTAGGCTTGTGACTCACCAATGCCCATGCTCTCAGAGTACATATGCGAGTCAATTGGTCAACAACCGTCACTCATACGGACCACACTAATCTATAACGGCGGTAAAACTAAGGGCTAACCGCATACAAGAATTCCAGAACAAGCTTTACAAGCCGAGTGTATTTTCCCGCCAAAAGGGCCACACTACATAAAACCCTTTTTTTTTTCTCTCAAAATTTCATTTTCTTTTCAAAACCCTTGAAATGCCCAATTTCTAGGTTTGTAATCGCAAAATTGGGGTTCAATTCCACTGCTGAAGAAATGGAAGATTCTGATAATTTAAGCACTCAACCTCACCGTTCAATCACCGCCGGCACAATTCGCCGAATCAAACTGGAGAATTTCATGTGTCACAGTAATTTGGAGATCGAATTCGGCGATTTTGTCAATTTTATCACCGGACAAAATGGCAGTAAGTCTCTATCTCACCTCAATTTTCAATTCAGTTCGTTAATTTTTTGCCCTAATTTGAGGAGAATTTTGATTCTGTGATTTTCTTGGTGCAAAATGAAATTTTTGTATGATTTTAGGTGGAAAAAGTGCGATTTTAACTGCATTATGTGTTGCTTTTGGGTCTCGAGCTAAGGCCACTAATCGTGCTTCAACTTTGAAAGATTTTATTAAGACTGGTTGCAGGTTTACTTTCTTTCTATTTTTCATCTCTTTATGTGTAATTTTTTCATGCTACAATGTGTTAAGTTAAGATATTGAATGTATATGTGATCAAGTTTACGGTAATTTTAAGCGCGATTATTGTCTTTCGGGCAGCTATGCTTTGGTGCAGGTGGTACTAAAGAATGAAGGAATGGATGCTTTTAAAGTAGAATCTTATCGTGAATGCATAATTATTGAGCGCAGGATCACTGAATCATCTAGTACACTTGTGCTAAAGGATCACCAAGGTTCGTACTTAAGCTTCATTATGTCTTCTAAAGGAATTATCTTATGAGTAATGTTGATAAGTGAACCACACGTATATCCGAAAATAGTAATAGTGAAGTGTGGGGCGGGGATGGGAGCAAGTTATACCATGTATTTATCGATATATTACATTGCATTTCGCATGCCAATTGTCATGATTTGTTGAACTAGGTTGGTCAGTTTGTGTGCCTTGTGTTTCACATAGAAACTATGCAGTAATTTACAGCCAAAGGGGCTTATAGTTCTTGCTTTACTAGATCATCAGTCTTTATGTTGCTCCTGTTTGTGGCTGTGTCTCATACTTTTTACTCCTCATTGTTCTTTAAATTATGGTTTAAAACTATAGTGAGTTATATGTATGTGATGATCAACATGCACAAACAACTTTACTTTTTGTTTTTGCTTGAGGAACAATTTATAATATATTTTTTTTATTCAAGATAAGTTTTTTTAAACATCCTTTTATTATTGTACTGTTATTGCTATTAACCTTGCTGATACTTACGTTTTCTTTGTCATGGACAGGTAGAAGGGTTTCTAACAAGAAGGAAGAGCTTCGGGAACTTGTGGAGCATTTTAACGTGAGTTTATTCTTTCTTATGTCACCTGTTATATTGGTATATGATGAACTGCAAAATACTTGTAATTTGTTATAATTTTTACAGATAGATGTTGAGAATCCATGTGTAATTATGACTCAAGACAAAAGCAGGGAATTTTTACAGTCTGGAAGTCCGAAAGACAAGTTCAAGGTGAGGGCAAACATCGAGAAGTTAATTGCTGGCGTTCAGTTTTTATGTTTCTAAGGTGTTTGTGGATAATGATATGCCATTTATATCTGCTTTATCTTGTATGTGGCCAATGTTTGCTTTTGTTTCTAATTAATCAGTTACTTGGAAAGTATAGTTGTCAAGGGCCCTCACTTATACTCGAACAATTTTTTAGTTTTTTTTCAAGGCAACTCTTCTTCAGCAAGTTGATGATCTATTGAAAGCAATTGAACAAGCTCTGGAAACTGCTGATGAGTTAGTCCAAGAATTGGAGAGATCCATTGAGCCTGTTGTCAGGGAACTCAATGAATTGCAAGCAAAAATTAAAAACACTGAGCGTGTTGAAGAATTATCAGAAAGAGTTAAACTAATGAAGTATAAGCTGGCTTGGTCTTGGGTCTATGACGTAGACAAGGAATTATCGAAGCAAAAGACAGTAGTTGAAAAACGGAAATTGCTAATTCCAACCTGCCAAGCCGAAATTGATCATAGACTTGTAAGCCTAACTCTAAGTCACATCTTTCTTTTATTTCATGATAATTAATTTATTGGCTGTAGCTGCAATTTCAAATGACTTTTTTCTGAATAAAGTGTCCCTTACTTTAATTGTGAAAAAGTGGTCATACTAAGTTATTTGACTTTGTTGTTTCCAAAGAAATATCTTTCAATGAGCTGTACTGACTATCAGCTGAAATTCAACTCTCATTCCCCAAATACATGAGATCAACAGATTACTAACACGGATATTATAAGCTCCTACATCGTAGTGCTAAAAGTCACAAAGCAAGGAGCAGTTGAACATGTTATTCAAACAGTACTCATTTGATTTAAATTTCCTAATATCAACTATGAAACATATTATTATAACTGGTTGAAGAATTTTTTTAATTTTTCCCCGAAAAGCAAACCATTATATATCAATTACATGGACATCATATGATTGAGCTGTTTGTGATTGTAAATCGGTAATGCTATGAAAGTGTTCAGGCATGGGTATGTTTTCCAGCTTGATGTTTAGATTTGGAGTGTTTGCCTCTTTTTGGTTTATTCAGGATAATATACAATGGTGCATGATGTTTGCATGATATTGTATTGATTGGTGAGTCGAAAGATGTGGAAAAAAAGTCTGAACTGTGGAGACAGACTTACCACTCTTTAAAACTCTCTTAGATTTTATTTGTATATTCTTTTTTCTTTCACTTTACTCACTTTTTTCCCCACCTTTAATCAATCAAGTAGTTCCTTATGACGATTTATGTTAGTCGACCTTATCATTGTTTGTACTTTGTATATGATCTTTGTCCACTTGCTGAAGAGAAATAGATGACAAATGCCTGTTACCTATAGTAATTACTTGAGGCTATTGTTGCAGGAGATGATTGAAAATTTGAAAAAAAGCTATACAGATATGAAAAGTCGTCATGAGCAACTGGCACAAAAAACGTCGGAGGTGAATAGATTGCTGGATGAGTTGAAGGATAATCTATCCGTGGTATGTAATTTTTTTTTAAATTTTACTTAAATAGGAGAGTCTATTCTATCAGAAGAATTGTGGTGTGTGAATAAAGGGAGTAATGAGCACAAGATATCTTGAACAACAAGGCAATAAGTAAATTATTTTTTTAAAATTTGTGTGTGTGTGTGTGTGTGTGTGTGTGTGTGTGTTTGTGTGCGAAGAGCTTTGGTTAGTGAAATGGTTTGTGGACCTTTGAGAGATAATTTATGCTTTGGAATTGTGATATTTTGTTGTCAAAATTAATTAGTCTCTTACTACCAGACTTGGAAAAGCTTTGTTGGTCAATTCACGAGTTTAAGACTTTTATCATTTATTTATTTACTTCCTTCGCTTTTTTATTTGATGTATCACTTTCTATATATGGAAGTTTTAGTTTAGATGCACCACTTTCCTTTAAAATTAATAAATTCTCTCTTATCTCTCTCATATCACATGAACCCTCTTTATTTCTTCCTTCTATCTTTCTCTACTCCAAAAATTGCCTAGGTATCCGCAATTTCAGATGTGATGCATCTAGTAAAAAAACGAAGGAAGTATTTTTTTTTATAAAACCATTATATCACATTTGTTCGATAATATCTAAAGGCAACAAAGTATTTATGAAAATGGGAAGGAATGAAGTTGTTCCCTTATTTTTTTTACATATATATATTAATGCTTGTGGCACTACTGACTAGACCTTTGAGTTGTCTTCCTTAGCATCTATATAGAAGAATTCATCATCCTTAACAAAATTTAAAACATGCTTTAGGATTGAGTGTGGGTGCTTGTTGTCTAAAGAAATAAGTCACATTGATTTACTATTAAAAATAAGACTTTTTGTCAATAGCTACCTAATAAAACCCAGATTCTGTGACCTAATATAAAAAGTGTTACAGTAAACGTAAAATGTTGTAAAAACCTATCTAAAAAAGATAAAATTTTGTAAAATACTACTTATACCGGATTTCCACCGTCGATCGACCTCAAAACACTCTCGAAACCACCGCTTTTATTTCCGAAACTAACAGAAATTGCTTGGAATCACCTCCGGCACATCTAAAACCACCTTTCAACCCCAAAACCACCACATGTAACCCCAAAAATCACCATCCCAAAGCACTTATCTACCCTTACCAACTCGGAATATCCTCCAACCACCTCGAATAAAACCTTTCCTCCTTGAAAACCAACCCTCACGGCGTGTTTGGAGGTGTTTTAAGGTGGATCAACGTCGTAATTTTAAGTCAACGATGGAAATTTGGTCAAAGGTTGTATCTTATAACATTTCACCTTTTATTAGGTAGTTTCTCACAAAAAATCTTTAAAAATATTTGGGCAGAAACTAGATAGGATGAAGATTTATTAATCTTTTCCATAGGGATTTTAGTGTTATCTAAATAATATTGTACTCCCTCCGTTTTTTAATACTTTCTCCGCTTTCCTTTTCCGGTTGTTTTTAAATATTTGCTCCATTTCCTTATTTGAAAAGCTTTTATAATATTCATTAATTTCTCTCACCAAGTTGACCCAACAATATTAATTCGGTATTCTCTATCCTTTAATTTTCTCCACTACTTTTGATTTTTACAATTTTTTATTCTTCCACCAACCCCACTACCTCTATATTTTATTACTTTCTTCAATTTCTCCTAAAACTCCGCGCAAGGAGAAATGGAGCAATTATTTAAAAACGGAGGGAGTACTAAGTATTATTATTATGGCTAGAAAGTCTTGTACATACCCAATCTACACTAAATTTATTTTGTTTTTGAAAAAGGCGCAAAGCAAAAGGGGGCAAGCGGCTTTTTTGCCCTAGGCAAGGCAATTTTAATGAGGCTCACCTGAAGAAAAATTCTGTTTATATAGTGCGCCTCACTTCAAAGAGGCCCACTTAGGCGCTGCATAACCCACTTCAAAGAGGCGCACCTAGGCGCTGCATAACCCTTGTCGCTTTAGCGTACCTTAAGCTGTTTTATACATTGAATTTATTGTAGACCTAATAATTTAACACTCCCAAATAATAGTCACCTTGTGGATGATATAGTCACTTTTTATAATTACCTTGTTGTGATTTGTGAGTCATATTTTGAATGATATAATTTTATTTTAAATAATAGTTAGATAATATTAATCACTTTTTAGATGATATAATTATCTTTTGGATGATGTTATTACCTTTTCGAATTATATAATTACTTTTTGAATGATACATTTATTTTTTGAATGATATAATTACATTTTAAATAATATAGTCACCTTATACTTCCTCTGTTTTTTTTATTTTTTTATTTTATATTTGCTATACTTCTCTTTTCACGCTTGCCGATACATTATTCCAATTGTTAATATCTTTAATTTTGAATATGTAAAAATTATAAACAGTAGATATTAAAATAGTATAGATCAAGACGAATCTAACAAGATCTCACATGACTATACCATCCACTTTAATTTTCGAGGTCAAATGATGACTGTTGGTATTTCTTATAATCAATATTAAAACACTAATTTTGTGAAAGATGAATAAAGCAGCTTGTATCATAGATTCCTTCCCCCACTCAAACACACACTGTAAATCAATGGCCAATTTTTTGATTTGAATAGCAGAGTAGAAGATTATATCAGTGAGGAAAGTGCCTTTTTGGAATCATGGCATCTATTTTGAGGGGATCTTGTTTCAAATCTATCTTCTGTTTTTCACTAGAATTTATGACAGTTGAATATGCTAACATTTGACTATTTGAGTGGATTGTCTGTTTGCTAATTGGTGAATCTTTAGGCAGCGAAATCTAGGATGGAATTAAAGCAAGAATACGACCGAATAATCTTTGATGTCCAGAAGATGACGAAGCATGTGAAGTCCCTAGAGCAGCAGGTTCAAAATATACAGGAGCAAAATTTGCGTAACACTCAGGTACTTTACCTTTATCCAAATAGGCAAATACTCCTAAAGTCCTAAGTTATCTTTAATATGATTATTTGTCTCTTTCTCTCTCCCTCTTTTTTTAAAAATTTTATTTTTGTACTTATTTCACACTTTTGGTTCTAGTGTGTTCTAGAAAGTTTTTTTTTTCCATAATTTTTTCTATTTTGTTTTTGGTGAACTTCATTTACGACCTTGTCTTCAAAAAACTTCATTTGCTCCCTTACCCGTATACTCCAGAATATTTACACCTTTCCACTCACTCTTTCTTACCTTTGCATCCTCTTTTTTAACACTAACCACCTTATACACTCTCTTGCTTTTATCTTATACTCATTCTCAACATCAACACACACTCTCTCCAATTGCGTTAATTTATGTGTCAAAAATATCAGAAAAAAGAAAAAAAAAAGCTATGGGAATGTATGTAATACACATTTTTTTTTTAATTTTTATTTTAATGTTATAGAGATTTTCCATGGTAAGAAAAAATTGTCATCAAACTGATTTCACTGTGTATCCTAAATTGTATTAAAATTTCTTGATTCCTCAGGAATCTGCTGAAACATATGGGTTCAGTCTCTCTGTATAAAAAGTTTTTATTGTTTGATATAAATAAAAGTCAATAACTTAGACGAAAATGCTTTTTCTTAAAAAAACCAGTTGCTTGTTTGATTCCTGTGAAACTAATTACCACACATTGGCAACCTGGCGAATTTTCAATTTTTCTCAATTTTCTTAGTGTCAACTATTGTTATGTCAGTAATAATATTATTTGTATTATATGCAATATAATAAGAATGATACTGATACTACTTGTAAATAATAAATTGGTATATTGTTATTGCTGTTTTCTAGTAATATTTTAAGTTTTAACTACTATTAATGTTATTATTCATTTAAATAATACTTCCTCCGTTTCCTAATATTGCAACAATTACCATTTTAGGAAGTTGCAAGGTTGCAACATTATCATTTTTGTACATGTTTTCTCACTATCTCTCTCCTTATCACATAAGTCTTTATCTTTATTTCTCTCTATCTCTTAAATTATGTGTTGCAGTACTAGGGGAACGGAGAAAGTATAACATTAGCTCTTTAGCAATATGATACTCCGTTGATTCTTTTGTTCCTATATTTTTTTTTCTCAATGACTTTAGGACAAACATTGACGGGTTTCTCTCTTATGATGTATTATTAGTTTGAACATTAAGAAAATGTGCAGTACACTTTAAGATATAGGGTGTAAGTTTTTATACTTTATTGAGGTCAAATTTTTTTGAAATTGGGCTAAGAAAAATTATAGGAATTTGCATCTGGATTTTTAGGGCCATAAATAAGAGGGTATCGCTTTATATAGTCTGTATATAAGCATATAATATATATTTCTAAAATGGTATAAATATGAGACTTTTGATATAAGATGCGTAGAATAGATCAGTGTAATTAATGCTTAGTTATTCTCAACTTGTCCTTTTTAATATCTATTATTTTACTAAGTTTGATTTTATAAATGCTAGTGCTGGGGCTAAGATGATCTAACGCCTATGGTGCCCTGTACAAACTCTTAAGGCCCTCTATGATTATACTTTGTATACCAAATTTTATTAAATAAAAAAAAAATGTATAAAATTTGTCAAAATATGATTTAAAAAATACTCTTCTTACATATGAAAAGAGTGACACTCTTAATTTGGGAGGTAAAAGGATTTTCCCGATAATAATTGAAAAATTCAAGATAATGAGTTGAAAACAAGATTTTTTGCTTGTGATAGAAAAAAATAATTTTGGGAAAAAAATGGAATTAAGAAATTAAAGGAAGAAAATTAGATTTGGAAAATTGAGCAATTGGAGGAAGGAAAAACATAAACATTTGAAAACAAGATTTTTTTGCTTTTGATAGGGAACTTAATTTAGGAAGATAAAAAGATTTTGGGAATTAAAATTGGATGATTAAGATATCGAAGGAAGAAAATTAAATATAAAAATTTGAAGGAAGTAAATTAAATAATAGGGGTTAGGGTGGGCGTGAATTCAGTTTCATTGAATTTAAATGCACAACTTTCAAGTTGCCAATTGCATAAAAAAGGGAAAAATTGATGACAAGAGGAATTGAACCCAAGCTAAAATCAATTACTTTAGAACTACGCACCAATTTGACAAATATAATTATTTGTAAATGGATGAACAAATATGCATATATCTACAATTTGGGGCCCCTACTCTACATCGGCCCAAAACCGCCTCGGACAAATGCTCTTAGTTGTAGTATGCAACTGTATATACTACTTTCTATGTTTCTATTTACTCGACCTATAGTCGCATGACATGCAAATTAAGGTGTTAATAAAAGAAGACGGATGATTTTTTAAACAAAAATAAATAAAACGACCCATAAATGAATAAAAGGGATAAATTGGGGTTTTAAGGTATTAATTTTTTGAAAAACACACTTTAATAATCCCAACTATTCTCAATTTAGTTCTAATAATTCCAACTAAGGTTTATTTTTTAATAATCTTAACTATGAGGTCATTTTGCCTCCAATGGTCCCAATACAATAATGGGTCAATGACCTGTTATAACAGGTTGCCATGATACTTGGCAACACCTCATTGGTCCAAAATAAAAAATTATAAAAATAAAAAAAATAAAACACAAAAACCCAAAACCAAACATTCATCCACCCTAACCCCCACCCCCACCGTGCACCAAGTCACCAACCCTAAGCTCCGCTGAAAACTGACCGACCACTCCCATTAATCATCAAAATCAGCCGCATGCCTAGCCCTCTGCCACCCATTTAACCCACCCCTGATCTCTGAAACCACCAACCCAGTCCATGCCAACCTCGAAAACCGCCAACCTAACCCACAACAACCCTTGAAACCTGACCCTCTACTTGAATCCGCCGCCATAACTGCCCCTCCTCCCTTATCCCACCGTTTACAACGATTTCGAGAGTGGGGAAGGGATGAGGGGCGTTTTTGGTGGCGGAGGAAGGGGTAATGTTTTTTTTAATTGATTTTCCGGTGAAGGGAAGGGAGAAGAGTGGTCTAAGGGGTTGAGGTGGATCGGGTGTGTGTGTTTTGGGGGTTGAGAGGGCTGGCCGGCTATTTTCAGGGGGTTAGGGAGGTGGCCGGTTCCTCTATTGGCCGTTGGTGGCTGGGAACGGCGGCGGTGGCTGGGTTGGCTTGCTGGGATCAATTTTTTTTTTTTTAAGGATTTTTTTATTATTATTATTTTTAATTTAAGCCAATCATGTGCTGACACGTGGCGTTAAAAAAAAAATTACCCTTTCAGCACGTAACCGGTTTTTGAGACTAATAGAGGCAAACTAACCCTATAGTTAGGATTATCAAAAAATAAACCTTAATTGGAGTAAATCAGCAATAGTTCGGATTATTAAAGTGTATTTTTCCTTAATTTTTTTATTCAGCTTATATTTATCTTCTAATCTCTTCCTTAAATTGCATGCTGAAGGGTTATGGGTCAAGTTAAAAAAAAACGGAGGAAGTACATAGTATATTATTTAATAACCTACTTCGCATATAATAGCCAGAGTTTCAATCATATAATCAGAATAACTATGGCTGAACTTCCCAAGAAGTTACTGAACTTATTTTATGCACATGTTCATATATAATTTGTCATGAGCTTTCTAAAATTATCATTATAATTATTCTAAAATTAATAATACTATTATAACCAATTAGTATATCATAAAATATTGGGGCATTAACATTTTGACCGGTGATGATTTACGCATTACTTATGTTTGGGTTTGGGCGTTTGGCTTTGGCATATTTTACGCTGGTAATATGCGTAGCAGTAGTTCTGTGGGTTAGTGCCTCCAATGACTTGCATTCACTGATTATTGCTAGGAGATTGAGATGCTCAATGCTGAACTGTACTGAACAAATCTTCAGCCAGTCAAGTGTTTTTCTCCGTTCTTTTCTTAACTGTCTCGCTATGTTTAGTTCACTTTTTTTTAACCCCCCCTCAATTGGTGCCTTTTTGATACATATTGCTCCCATGTATGCAATTAGAAACTAATTTTGATGGTAGGTGATTATTGCCATTGATAATGATTGGAAATACTAGTTGCATGAGGGCATCATCATTACATGATTTTAAAACTACTGATGGCATGGTATAGGTTAAAAGATACATGGTTCTTTGCCGTGCTTGCTTGCTAGCTAAAATGCAGAGTACACAGCTCAAACAAAAGGGGGATTTGCTGTGGCTTCGATTAGTAATGTGATATAAGCTTTATTTTTATTAGTGTTATTTTTTTTTGTATGTCTCAGGTTGAAGAATCTAGGGTTCAGGAGAAACTAAAAGAACTTCAAGATGAAGTAAATGCTGCTGCTGCGTTGTTGACAAGGTTTTTTTTCTGGATCCTCTGCCTGGAATTTATGTGTTTTTACCAATAATTAGCTTATTTTGTTTCGATTCCTTTTATTTGTGCTATAACATTCTTTATGCTGATTGTATGAAAAGAATGAGATTGACGCGACAACATGATTCACTTTCCTTGATGAATATACGGTGATGGCATTAATTTATCTAGAATGATTAGTCCTAATGTATCTTAAATCTAATGAAAATTATGCATGGACTTTCTTTGTGTGACAAAAGGAGTATATGCTAAGTTACACTAGTTATTTTCGGCTTTGATTTATGGTTCAGGCTGAAGGAAGATGAGGCAGCTTTGTCAGGAAGCGTGGATGCAAGAATGGAAGAAATTAGAAAGATAAAGGAACAAGTAATATTCTTTTTTTGGATCAAATATATAAACTTATGCGTCTTCATTTTTGCTGAAATAGATCCCTATTTTTATTTTTATTTTAATAGAAAGAACTTAATCTGTGAAAATACCAATAATCTTCAAGTTGAACTGTAGAGGATTGAAAAACTGGATGAATTAAAGAGTGAGAAAAGGATTAGTTTGGGTTTGTTGGAAATTTTTAGCTGAATTGAGTGATTTTAGCTATCTAAGAGTTTACCCCGGTAAGTAAGGCCTTGCAAGATTGTGAGAAATTTTCTTTTCTTTTCTTTTCTTTTTTTTTTTTTTTTTTTTTTTTTTTTGGCAAGATTGTGCTGAACAAATATTGATCTAATATGCAATCTCAAAGATAATGTGGATGTAAAGTTGGGTTAGAATTCAAAGTGGTTGATTTCATTAAGAGTTTTTTTTATAGGTTATAGCAAATAGGCTTGAATAAACTATTAAAAAAAAATAGGGCCTGAATAAAGTTTATATATGGGCCTTAAATTTTGCTGGAACTCTGTAGAAGATGTGTTGATAATCACTTGTTGTAATATGCAAAGGAAGATAGTTGCCTTTTGAGGACCCCTGCTTATCTGGATGATGCATTTGTCTTGGTGCTTTTTGTGATTTTTTTTTTTACCTTTGTCTATAAGAAATAATCTGTTAATTACAGGTTCTTGGTTACATATAGTAACTTTTTTTCTTTGTTGCTAGGTTGTTGAACATGAGCAAAAGCTGAGTGATTTCAACTCCCAACTTTATGAGCTTCGGCAAAATCAAAATAATAAGGTTATAAAGATAAATCCAGCTATATATTTTACATTGTTCTTTGCTTTAAATGGGTAGCTTTCACTCGTATATCTTGTAAGTTTTATCAAGATGAGTAGATGACTAGATGATTTACCAGAGAGTAATGTAGTTTTATTTTCCTCCATGCTTATTTGGATGCCTAATTAAAAGCTTCTCTATGTATTTGCTGTCTTGTTCCAGGTTTTTGCTTTTGGTGGAGAAAAGGTCCTTCAACTTCTGTACATTATAGAGTCACGCTGTAATGAATTTCAAAGTCCACCCATTGGTCCTATTGGTGCCCATGTGGTAAGAAAAACATACTAATGCCCTTTTCCTTGACTTTGTTTGTTCTACAAATCTTTTATATAAAAAAAATTAAAATAAAAATTAAAATCTTGCAGTCAAATAGACAACACCTTTTAACACGTGATAATGTATTAGCAGGTTCTACTCTCCGTGAGTATATAATTTGATATGTGCAAAGCTGAGTCACTAGGTTAGTGACGTAGTGATAAAAGCAATGGTAAATGTGATGGTCTTAATTCTACTGGTGCTTTGTCCCTTTCCATTCAAACATTCAGCAATGACAAACTGTTTGCATAAAATGTCTCAATAACAGGTGTAATTGATTAAGGCTTTCTAATGTAATGCGTTAGGTAGCCGTTATGGTCAAGGCTGGGTTAATGACAAAATCGCTAATGATGATATCACTGCAGTCTTACCTTTTAATCTATTTTCAGTGTCGCTACAAGCTTGGAAGTCACAGTCACAGACATCAGTGGCAATCAATTCTTTACCTTCAGTGATTCCTTTGCTTTGGTTGCCTCTGTACTTTAAAACCAATGTGATGTGAGCTGTGACTGGTATTTTGAGGCTTCGTATGCTATCAAGATTTACAATATATAATGCAGCAGTTGTTTAGTCAACTATATCCCTCCAATGATTATATTAGTCAAAATAAAAAGGGTGGAACTATATCCAGGGGATTTTTTCCTCTTACTGAAATTAATAATGATTTGTGTTTCTTGGTGGATCTGCAGAATTTGACTCAAGGCGATCAATGGGCGGGTGCTGTTGAAAATGCAATTGGAAGGCTACTAGATGCTTTCATAGTGACAAACGTCAATGATTCACATATACTGAGGTCTTGTGCCCGACAGGCGCGCTATGAACGCCTTCATATCATCATATATGATTTTTCAAAGCCCAGGTAGCTCTAAATTACTGAAGTTGAGGCAGCGTCATTTCATATGGTTGGAGTAGATTGACTTAATCTTATTTATATAGGATCAACCTTCCACATTACAAACTTCCTCAAACAAGACACCCTACTACCCTTTCTGTCTTACACTCGGACAAAGCGACAGTTGCAAATGTGTTGGTGGATAAGGTAATTTGAATGTTCACAAATACTGTAGCATTTTACCTGGATTTTTTATTTCCCCTTTTTCTGGAGTTCTTTTCACAGTGCTTGATGTATGTCAGGAAAAGGCTATATGATGAAAAAAAAAGATGCAAATAGTGATACTTGGAGTTGGCTAACTTGGCTCTATTTTTTTTTTTTTTTTTTTTTTTTTTTTTTAAATCTCTGTTCCTTTACTTTCTTTCTATTTTGTGAGTTCTTGGGGTATGATTTGAGTGTTGGAGTTAAATAAGAAAAGGGTTACAGCAACGATTCAGGTCTAGTGGTCTTCATATATGTTTTGTCTTTTTATGTTTCAGGGTGGTGCAGAGAGGCAAGTTCTTGTTAAGGACTATGACATGGGCAAAACTGTTGCTTTTGAAGAAAGGGTTTCAAACTTGAAGGAGGTTTTCACTTCTGATGGCTATAAAATGTGAGACTAACAATTTCCTTACTAAGCTTTAATTACTATGATTGAAATCAAGCAATGATACATTGGGTTGTTGCCTTGTTGGTGATGATGGCATCTGCCCTTCTATGAGTCTTTGGAGGTTCAATGCTGACCTTTGTTATTTTGACTCTTCATTTTGTCTTCCACAGCCATATTGCTCACTTGACACTTCTAGAAGAGTATGGTATCCTTACACGTCACTTCAATGCTCACCTGGACACTTTGGCTATCTTAAACCACATAATCATAGAATAAATGTTAAAATGGAAGTAAAAAATGAAGAATATGTGTGATATGTACGGTTAAGCATTTCAACTAAAAATAATAATCAATTCAAGCTCAAATTGTGTATTGTTTGCACATAGTTCTTTTAGTATATCTTTCTTGCCTTTCGTATTGTTATGGAATATGTATTACCTGCTCAACGTTCTCCATGGAACTGAAATAGTTTCGGAATTAATCATTAGCTAACTCTGAGAGTTACAAAGAGTGTTAATCTTCTGTTTGATAAATACTCAATTCAGATTATAATTTAAACCTCAGTTGTCCACCTGGGGCTGGGATGGGGAGGGCAAGCAAAAACAGTGGTTTTAAATTAAACTGAGAGGAGGTGAGAATGAGGACAAGGTGAACAGATGCTATTTGTTGCTAATTCGAGTAATTCCTCTTTGATATATTATGACTTTTTTCATTACACAAGTTTAGGTTTTCTCGAGGGTCAGTCCAAACCATTCTTCCTCCAACTAAAAGAGCTAGAACTGGACGGCTTTGTAGCTCATATGATGATCAAATTAAGGACCTTGAAAGAGATAAATGGAACGTGAATGAACAAGCTCAAAAAGCCCGCCAACTGAAAAGAGTTGCGGAGGAGGAAGTACATGATCTTCAAGAAAAGTTAGACGATATCAAGGTAATATCTTTTTTCATCCTTAATCATCATCTTCTAGAAATGTGGTCATGCTTTTAGCATGCATGGTAGATTTGTGTCTAGATCCCATGCAATGTGTCAAACAGATTTTTGCTTCAGTGCTATTCTGAAAATTTGACAATCGACTATTCTGCTTTTGCATATGGTTTAAGTAATTGTATAATTAATGTGGCTCCTCAAACCTTTTGTAGCTGCTACACATGCTACCTCACTCGCAATTTAATGTATATGGTTAAACTCTCTCGATATAAGGTTCCAATTGAAGTAATACTAGCTTAAAACCCGTGCCATGCACGATTGCACGGTAATAAAAAAAAGATTTTTTGTTTTTATATATAAAACTATCATGGACTAAAACACAACTATAACATAGGTTGTGTTTAGTTTCTTCTTATTTTGTATATATAAAATTAAACATGGAATGTAACAATAGAGTCAATTAGACCATGAGTATATTAAAATTATGTATTAAACCCAATGGGTAGGAATAATAATCCCGTTTAATTAGGGGTGAGCAAACTGGGTACCCGGTCAAAATTTTAGGACCCGAACCCAAAATTGGTTGGAACCGGGTCCTAAAATTCGGAACTGGAATCGGAATTGGTTCAACCGGGTCCTAAAATTTAGGATTTGGAATTGGAACCACCGGGTACCCACTTAAGTAAATAATTATTAAAATATAATATAAATTATGATACGTATTTAAGTTTATTTTCATTTTTAGTGTTTAACACTTGTATTTATATGTACAACAATAAGATATTTTATTTATGTTAGGTATTAAAAATAATTTTTTTATTTTACTAACTAGATACATTTACCATAATTTTATTTTTAAAGAACTTATTTGGTGTACCATATGTTAGTTAACCGGGTACCCAACCGGTTCTGGGTCCAAAAAATCAAGAATTGGAATTGGAACCGGTTGCAACCGGTTCCTTAATTTCTTACCCGGAATTGGAACCACCGGGTCCAATTCCGGCTCCGAACCCACCGGTTCCTAACCGGTTCCAATTCCAATTCCGGGTACCCGAAATTTTTTCTCACCCCTAGTTTTAATCATATTTGCTCTGTCAAATTTTTTCTCTAACAAAATATAATAATATGAAAATATTTTATAAAAAATTAAAAAAGTGCATACATAGATTAGGGTTTATAATAATAATAATGTTAAGCTATATTGTTATACTCCCTTCATTCCATTATGTTCTTATTATGATTAGGCAAGAAACCAATTATAATAGTAAAAAAACAAAATTTTCATTTTATATTAAAATAGAGATTCTAATCAAAATATTAAGAACATAAAAATTGCACCAGAACTTAAATATTGTGCATTTAATACACTTTGTAATAGTGGAAAACATAAATAAGCAATATATAATAAATAGCTGAAAATTAAAAAAATAAAATAATGTTATATTTGTCCATTTTTGTGCAAGAAATAATATATGATGTATTGTGCTATTTAAAGATATGGCACACAAAGTAATATTTATAAGATATAAAGTAATAGATTTGGAAAATATTTTATTACTAATAAAAAAAAAGTGTGTGAATCAAAAATACCATAATTATATAATTTGGTGAATATTTTGTGTATAAATTGTAGTAGGTAATATTGGTTAGATTAAGAAGGAAAATAAAGGAAAGGGGGGAATTTTTGAGGGAAAAAAACAACACCAAGAAGTGACTTGTGTCATTTTCAGTGTCTGTTTTAGTATTATATATTGATGATTATACCCATGATAATTCCATTAATTGAAACTCATCCATTAATGTAAATAGCATTAGTCTAATACATGATGAAATTATAGATACAGGAAATCTCTAACTTAGTAATTTGCATATTGCTATAACTCATAAGCAAAAGGCTAGAGTAGAAGTACAAAAACATTTAGGGTCTGTTGGTTATTTTTGAAAATGAGTAATGCTAATAAGTACTAATAAAACGCTCAAGAAACAAGTTGGAGAGATTGGGAATGTTGCAGATTTTGAAATGTATGATGTACCTAATTACCTGTGCCCTATACCCCTAGCTGAAAAGAATCCATTCGATCAACCTCTTGTTCTTCCTAGCGAATAGTTTGTAATGTTAAACATCATATCTTATTGTCGATCAAATTCCTACAGCTTGATCTTACATTTTTTTACTTTTATTTTACTGTCGAACAGATTTACAGAATGAGATGGTATGTGCTTTTGGGAAGTTTTTATTAAATTAATTGGCTTTCTCTATTGTGGTGTGGTGTAGATTTCATTTTGCTGCGAAGTGGCGTGATAGTTGATGTGCCTGCAACCTTAAGGAGCTAAACTTTGATCTTCATATAATTTATTGTGAACTGTGTGTCTTTAGAAGTTTATTAGTTAGTGCTAGTTTACTGAGTTGAACTACAGAAGTCAGCAGCTAAATTATGTGAAGAGATTTGGCTTTCTGGATGTTTTTCATTCAGACTATTTTAGTATATGGATGCCGTCAAAGTCTGAGATTTTACCCTCTATTTTTTTTTTTTTTTTTTTTTTTTTTTTTTTGTATACATTGTTTAGAGGAGACGTAAATCTGCAGAGCGGCATTGTTATCAAAAGACATTTGCTGTTGATGATTTCAAGCGCACACATGCATCTGAAGGTAGTGGATCTAATATGTCTACTGTGGATGAGCTTTGTGAAGAAATCAGGGTTTGTTAGCCACTCCTGCTTTTATCTGATGAATGTAAAAATCTATTCTTGTATTTGGATTTGTCTGATTGGCTCCTTCTATTTTGAATAGAGAACCCAAGCTTTAATACAAGAAAAGGAAACCATGCGTGACAAAGTCCAAGTGCAGATGAATGAAGCCCTAGATAAAGTCAGAGAACTGAAAGCATCTCTAGGGAACTTGCATGGTATGGTGATGATGTTAAGCTCATGATGGCTAATGCTGCTCACTGATGTTTGTCCCTTTTATTTTTTTGTAATCTTGTTGAAAATTGCAGAATCCGCAAATGAGGACTTCAATGCTCTTGATAAAGCTGTAAAAGAATATGAAGCTATTGCCAAGGATCTAGAGGAGCTAGAGAGGGTTGGTCTTTCATTCTTTTCCCTTCTTTTATGTAGGTTATGTACTTATGTGTGAGTTTTGGCAGTGCTTGTATGTGGCTTGTGCAGTGTACTATCTATCTATTCTTTGCTTGAAATTGATTTATATTGGCACTTTTATTATCATTTATGTCTATCTATATTTACCTTTCTGCTTTGAAGAAATAGTCAAAAGCAGCCTTATAAAAGGTGCACTTCATCAAAACTACATTTCAAACAAAGTTTTAAAGCACTTATTGTGGCAAAGAAGGTACCGCTTTATTCCTCCTCCCCCCCCCCCCCTCATTTCCCATTTTTTATTTTTATTTTATTCTTCTTCATCCTCCTTTGTATCTTGATTATTCAGTTCAAAATTTATAGAGTATAGATTGCGATATATATCAACTGAAACACTAATGCGCCTTTTGATTTTTTTATTCCCCCTCTCATTGCTTCTCCACTTTCTTATATCTTTTGGTCCATCTATTTTTTCCCTGAACTTGGGTGTATGTATTGTGTGACTGAGCTGATGGAGTGTTTGGTGATAGAGTAGCAGAGGGGAAGGGCCACGAGGTGGTGTTGGTGGCTATTTTTTCCGAAAGAAATGGTGGACTGGAGGAGAGGGAAGCAAGGTAAGTGAATTGTACAAAAGGTAAGTGAATATTAGGAGAGAGAAGCATGAGGTAGACTGATGATGTCATTAGTTGTAAGTGAATTGTACAAAAGTGTTTCTTTTACAACCATTTCCAACTCAAAGTTGTGTAAATCTAATTGAAATTTTTAAAATGAACATGATCCTTCAACAATATTTGAGCAAAATTTCTTGGAATTTGTTTGAAGAATCAATTTGGTTATCATTGTTTAAATGAAGACAAATGAAAATAAATAAAAGAATTAGAAATAAAGACAAATGAAAATTAAGAAAAAGAGGGAGGGCAAATGAAGGAAAAAGAAAAGGAGAAAACCGGAATCCAGCAATTGGTACTTTTTTTACACCAAAGTGCTTTATAAGGTTGTTTTCCCAAAAGGCCACAACAATATCATTAAGGTGGTTTTGACAACTGTATTACTCTGTCGAAGGATTTTTCTTACCAACTCTTAATCTTTTATGTTTTAGTTCACTTTTATAGTGGGAACTGGATATGGTACATTGTGCTTTCTCAGGGTTTTTTCTGCATCGAAGGTTGGGGATACCATTATGTGTTGAAGATGATTTTTATTTGCTTGTTGCACATATTGGGACCGTCATCTTAGTGTCTTTTTTGTCGATTATGTGATATGTTTCTCTTGTGAGGCTAAGATCTTATGATCCTCCAAAATGTTGAATATTGGACAATTGGAAAGTCAAGGAACTTCTGATTGTGATTTTGCGACTGCATATTGGTATTGAACATTAAAATATTAAATGGGTTTACCAAGAAAGTGTCTATGCTTTGGTTTTTACTAATGTGCAATTATTTATACTTTGAGCCAATGCTTAATTGCTAATGTCTTCTATCTTCTGCCAATCTGTCCACCTGTAGCAATAGGCTTTCCTTTGGGAAAGAAAGCTAAACTTAATGGATTTTCTGCTTATGCTCATCAAACCTTGAATCTGGTCGGTGTTAGGAAAGAGAATACTATTCGTTTTGGGTCTGGAATCTGGTTCAGATCTAATTGGAAAACAAATCTACATTCAGGTGCTGTCCAACAAGGAAGCCTGTTTAAAGATGCGATGTACATTATTGTTACTCGAAATGCAGTCCAAATCTTGATATAATAAACTCTCTACGTTCCTGAAATTTTGACTCGCTTTTGGCAGACTTGTTTATAAGAACGCATAGAAAGGCGAGTGGGTGAAAGAAAAAGTTTAATAAATAATGAGTGATGGAGTAAAAAGGTGGGTGGGTTTGAGAAGGTGGATAAAGGACAATAGAGTATGTAGAAAGGTGTTAATGATGTGGCTGTGTGGGGTAGGAGGGGTAAGATTGTAAAAGGGATTTTCCAAAAAAAAAAAAAAGAAAAGAATTAATATGTTACTTAGACTCGGGTATCCATGTACATGTCCAAGTGTCCTACCCATGTTCGTGTGTCGAGTGTCTAACACTGGTACTTGAGGTGAAGTAAAGAGTCTGAGTAACATATGGTGTTAAGTAGAAATGAGTTGAAACTTTTTGATAAGACGTTTAATAGAAAGTGAGTTGAACTTTGCAGGATGTTGTAAAATGGTATTAAAGCATGTTAACTTTTTCTTGTTGTACCAAAACCAGTTGCAGCATTGCTGGTGGGGAGAGAGTGCTAAAAAATCCAAGCAGATAGGATACCTTATGTTTTGAATTGCAAATGCATCTTTATTGACCATTATATCATTATTTTTTGCTCCCATGAAAGATACATATGTATGTGTCAAATGAATTATGTGATGCGCTTATCTTGTAGATAATCAATTGCGTGTGCTCTGCATAGCTGGGGTATGGTTAGCAGGATCACCAAGGCAAATAGTGCTGGGAAGCTTAAATTATTAAAATACTGTTTATGATATCTGTTTCTTAACTGAATCTGATTTGAACTTAAGTTTGAGGCCTTTGATCTTAAGGATGGAAAAGATTTGGGGAGGATGAATAACCCAAAATCAACTACTGCCTTTTGTTTTTGAAATTTCTTAACTAAAAGTATTTTCATTTGTTTCTTTGTGAGCTTAGTACTTTCACCTTATTCTATTTTTGGCAAAACCTTTTAATATCTTACCCCTCTCTCCAATTTCTTAAAACCTTGTATATATGTATGGGAATCATCAAAGTGTTCCTGAAGTTACTGCTATGTAATTGGTTTTGGGATTTAAGGGTTGGTGACTATTTTGGCTACCCTTAACACAATTCTAGAGCTTTTCTTGGACTGTCTTTTAAGTTCTACCAGTATGCTATTGGAGGTGACTTTTACCAATTGAGTGTGTGATATTCAGATACCAGTCCACCACAGTTGGATATGTATTTTCAAGCTGTTGCAAGAATCAATTTCTACTTAAAAAGAGGACAATCTTTGCTGTTTTAGAAGTCAAGTCACCATTTTTTTGAGTCTGTGCTGTTGTCAGCTCCCATTGGCTTCTTTTATCTTCTAACAGGTTATATACGGAGTATTATTAATTAGGTAAATGTTTTTCTGTTCACCCATGATTATCTTTGTGATTTTCTCAGGAGAAAAGGCATTATGAAAAACTTCAAGCTGAAAAGATTTTACCTGAAATTAAAGAAGCAGAAGCAAAGTATCAGCAGCTTGAACAGAAGCGCAAGGTATACTCTTTCAGATGCAAACTGATTCCGACATCAAGTTTGATGCTTATGCTAGCTAGATCAGTATTCCTTAGTTTTGAAAATGAGTTCTTGGGCAATCTGATCTGCAGTTATGGACATTCAGTGAGATCTTTAGTGCTATTAGTTGGTGTTGTGCACTATTTGCTGCAGTGTTGAATAGGTCATGGGAAAAGATCATTAGTAGACATTGACTAGCAAAGATTCTGGAGAAGACTCCTAGGTTAAATTCGCATTGTCACAGGCATCTATAGAACTACCTTTTTAGTTGGATTTCTTGCAATAATTGATATTAAACCAGGCCTGCAAATCCACAAGTCACAAGGGATTTGTGATATTAAACCACATTTTTTGATATTAAACCAGGCATGTAAATCCAGAAGTTGCTGATTTGTGGTAGTCAATTAGCTACTGGTTTCATGCCCCAAATACGTGTGGCAATTATGTGAATTTTATCCAGACATGTTTGTGAGCCTCTATCTGTCTCTAATTTTGTGCCTACATTGGATACTCATTTCAATTAGTTTTCTTTATTCTTATTGCTCTGGATTGTTATTGTAGGAAAAAATTAGCAAGGTTAGTACTTCCTCTGTTTTTAAATGCTTGCAACGCACTTTTTCACGATATTTAAGAAAAGTGGACATCACATGATGTAATATAGTTAAAATGGGGGTGAGCAATTGTTAGGATTATAATTTAGTGGGCCATGAGCTTAAAATAAGGGTAATAGTACAACTTTCAACAAAAAAACTTTACAATCATAGTGTGTTGCAAGTATTGTGACATTTCCATTTTAGTGAAATGTTGCAAGTATTAAAAAGCGGAGGAGTATTATTTTTTGAACTGTTAAGTTAATCATTTGTAAAATTACTCTGCTGGACCTTAGGCTCAGCAGGTTTGAAGTTGAGTGCATTTTCAAACTGTCTAGCCCATTGGAGCTATCTTCGTCTTTCTAATAGATGTATATGTTGTAGAGATCTAGGTTTTTGTATTACAGATGTATGTTGTAGTGATAAACTAAAAAAATTCATATAATTCAAAAATTGATTTGCAGGATAGTTATGAGAAAGCCTCCTACATGTGCCCAGAGGATGAAATTAAAGCTGTGGGAGACTGTGAAGATACTCCAGAGAAGCTCAGTGCTAACCTGAGACTAATGATTGAAAAGCTCGAGCGTGCAAGGGATATGTAAGGATGGAATTTTCTTTTAATGAAAGTTTCTGCAACTGGTTCTGAAATGTAATGGTGCAATATTTGTAGATATACGGAATCCATTGATGACCTACGAAAACTGTATGAGAAGAAGCAGAGTAAGATTTTGACGAAGCAAAAGACTTATGAAAATTTCCGAAAGCAGTTACAGGTAATGCGTATACCAAGTCTCTTGAAGTGGGATAGATGTCCCACCTGGTTTGTTTGACTATTTGAGTTAGATTTCTTTATGCTATGCATTAATTTGTCATGCGTTTATTCCTAGATAAATCACTGAAGCCACATGCTCCCTTCCCCTTTCATACATCTTCTTTTTCAAGAACATCTTGCCTAATTCCTTATCAAAGATATATTTTGTTGTTTCTTTCACATGCTCTCAGATCCCATTCTTCACCTTTTCTTTTCTTTTTTTTTTTTTTTTTTTTTTTTTTTTTTGCTGCTAAAAGATCTGCCTTGTACAGGCCTATATCTTTTTTTTTTTTTTTTTTTTTTTTTTTTTTTTTGTGTTTGCTAAAAGGTAATTTCTTTTCTTTTTTTTTTTTTTTCTGCTAAAAGATCTGCCTTGTAAAGGTTTATGTGGTTTGATTAATGAGGGTGATGTATGTTGCCTAGAGAAATGAAATTACCTTTGAATGTGTATAATAATATGAGTAAAGGGACCCCCTCCCCTCTTTGTGCTTCATCTTTGTGCCCTTGTTAGGTGAATGGGTTGCTACCTCTACTAAACCCCGAAAAACAAGCCACTTCGGGTTCACATCATTCTTCATGTCACCATAAAACAAGTTGTTTTTAGCTTCCATCAAGTTAATTGTATTACTTTTAGGAGAGTGAAATTAAAATTGAGAGTGGCTTCAATTTTGTGTAAGTCTTATATGCTTTCAAAGTTATGAGTCAATTTTAGATCGATAAAGGTTGTTTAGAATTAAATCATACTCCCTCCATTTTTTTTCTAAGTAATGGACCTAAATATAATACTTCATAAGTTGTAAGGAAGGGCTTGGGTATAAAAAAAATCACGAAAAAGGATAGTGCGGTTAATAATTTATTTAAAGAATTTTTTGACTTTTACCACCAAAAAAAATCGCGAAATTGTTTTTTACTACCAAAAATTTTAGAAGTTTTATTTTACCACCAAAAAAAAAATAAAAAATTGTTTTTTACCACCTGCCGTCAAAAACCTAACGGAATATATTAAATTCTTTGATTTTTGTGCCAAACACATCATATTTAGGAGTTTTGGGGGGCATTTTGGCCCTTTGGGTCCAATTTGAGGTCAGAATCGACAAAAAATGATTAGAATTGCTTCTTTTGTGCGTTTAAAAATACCTTGGTTTGCGTGAAACACGCAAAATGAGGCATTTTCGATCATTTTTTGTCAATTCCGACTTCAAATGATTCCATAGGGCCAAAATGCCCCCCTAAACCTATGAACAACATGTTTTGCGCACGAAAATCGAAGAGTTTTTCTTTAAACCGTTAAATATAACGGTTTTCTTGACGGTAGGTGGTAAAAACCAATTTTTAAAATTTTTTTTGGTGGTAAAATACAACTTTTAAAATTTTTGGTAGTAAAAAACAATTTTGTGATTTTTTTTGGTGGTAAAATTCAAAAAATCCTTATTTAAAACTAAGAAATGTGAGAGGGGAAGAAATGATAGAAAATAAGTAGTGGGTTTAGAAGGGACCATTAGAGGAGAGTGATATAATACTAAATGTAGTAATTTGCCAAAAATGAATGGCCGGGTTTGGTAAGGGTAACACATAAAAAAAATGGATGAAGTAGATTAAGTAGTTAAATTTTAAGATTCTACATATTTGCTAATAATACGATTTTATCACTAAATTTGTAGTATTCTACATAATTGCTAGACATATGATACCGTTGTTAATTAGTGCTCCTTTTAATTTTTGATGGTTGTTATACTTTGACTAGACATGTTTTCCCATACACAACTTTGACTATGAATATCTTTAAATACCTTATAACTATCACTATATACTTATAAGACAAATCCAAAAACACATTATGCCCTACATAATTGTTTGTATAGTTAAGTAAAAAAATTATGGTCTAAGGCATGTGAAATAGTATATCCACTTTAAAAATCAAAGTGGAGCATAAAAATGAAAGGAGTAATACTTAGGGCCTGTTTTATTCACATTATTTTTCACTAATTTCAGGTCTTATAAGTTTGGTTAAATTCAGATAATAAGTTTTAAATTCTGATAAGGGTTACCCAAGTACAAATTACAATTAAAATAAGTTTTAACAAAGTCTAATAAGTTAAGTTCAAATAAGTGAGGTGAATAGAACACACCATTATTCATCTCTAAAGTGTAAATTTCTGAAAATAATCATTTTACTTTATATATCAAGCTATTGAAAAGTACTTCATCCATTTCTAAATGTTTTCTACTATGATTGTTTGCGATCTTTGAACACATATTTAGGCGATTGCGAGAGTTCTAATATGTTGAGTAGGTGTAAAACAAAGGTGGATGAAGGGGGGAGGGGAGAGAGGGAGGGAGGGAAAGAGAATGTTTAAAAAGGGTGAGTCTACAAAAGGTGGAAAAGTGAGTCAATGGAAAGGTTTTTGACACTGTGAGGTGAGTTGTAAAAGGAGTTTGCCAAAATTAGAATATAACAATAGTTAAAAGAACTTTGAGATTTAACTAAAATGCAAGAGTAAAAAACTTTTAGGAATGGAGGTTGTGTATACAATATACTAAAATTATTTGGGCCGGTAGGATTTCATAAATTCAAAAATTGTGATTGATTAGTTTTTTTTATTTTTATAATTTTTAATAATAGTCATCTATGGGATATAAACATATATATATATATATATATATATATATATATATATATATATATATCGGTTGCGTACTTTGTAATTGTAAAATCGTAAAAAACAATGATTTGAGTCCCAATTTAAAATGTATCATTAGAATTGTTTGATCTTTAGAGATGTGATAATGATTAGCAAACATGTGCATTGTTTTTTAGATAATAAAATAGATTTATGTTGCTCATTTTTTTAAGCTGAGTTCAATGACAAGATTTTACCGATGAAAATGTAGAATTGTAGACAGGTTCAGCAGTTACTTAGAATTGTGGGCTAATTAGTTTTAATGGCAAATGTCATTCCAAGTGCTTACTTCATATCTTCTTTAGTGTTTTCTTTCTGTAAAAATATACTGTTCAGTATACACTGCCCTTCAAGATATTGTTGATCTCTTGCTTTTTTACTATTGATTGAAAGTTAGATACTGTTAATTTTGATATGCAGGATGCTCGAAGAGCTTTGGAATCACGAAGAATCAAGTTTGATCGGATTGCTAGTTTAATCAAGCGCCAATTGACATGGAAGTGAGACCTTTGCAATCTTTTTGCCCATTTACTTGATGCTCAAATAAAAATCCCCTGCTCTTACTCTTTTGAAACTATCCAATATGCTTCTGCTGTTTGACCTTTTTTTTCCCTGGTGGGGGTGGTACCAGTTTTAATAGCAATCTGGGAAAGAAAGGGATAAGTGGTCAGATTACTGTGGACTCTGAAAGGAAGACTCTCTCTCTTGAGGTGATATATATGTTATACTGTACAATTTTTAAACTAATTTGATTTGTCCCTGGGATAGGAATTTACATGTTCTTCATTGACTGATTGATAGGTTAAGATGCCACAGGATGCATCTAGGACTACTGTTCGGGATACTAGAGGACTTTCAGGTTCATCATTATTACTGATCAAAATTTGACCTGGATTGTTTATTCTGTTCTTACTTCACAAGTTCTTTATCAAATTTCCCCGCTATCATGCTCCTTTAATTTATAAGTTTTTGAATATGAAATCGTTGTTACTCTGCCTCCATGAAAGTTGGACCAACTCAAGTCCTGTAAATGCTAGAATAGTTAAGGCATCATGGAGATAGATTTAGGTGAAAAGTGTATCAAGGATCTAACGAAACCTTGTCCAGATTCTATGTAATTTTCCATGTTTGTTAATGCTTTTAACTAGTGTGTGCTCAAACAGGTGGGGAACGTTCTTTCTCGACTTTGTGTTTTGCATTAGCTCTCCATCAGATGACTGAATCCCCTTTTCGAGCAATGGATGAATTTGATGTATTTATGGTACTAGAATCTTGTGGAGCTAATGCCTTTTCACTTTGGTGCTTCTAATGGTTTGGATTTTCTTATATATTTTTTTTCCTGCCCGTTCAGGATGCAGTTAGCCGGAAAATCAGTCTTGACACCTTGGTTGATTTTGCGTTATCACATGGGTCACAGTGGGTGTTTATCACCCCTCATGATATCAGGTACCTACAGTTGAGTTGCGCACATTGCTATTTTTGTATAAATGTTATCTTTTTGTTGTCTTCATGTATACAACATAATAAATGACATGGAAATCTTCAATTGAAAAAAATTAAGCATGTTTGTTTATGATGGATTTGGATCAAAGACATGTACTCTGTAGGGATTATATTTAATGTACAAAAAATTTCAGCTAATAGCGAAAAATTGTGCAAATGATAATTGGTCAATGTGTGTACTCCAACCGCTTGTAAGCTTTGTTAGGCTTTCTTCCTATTAAACTATAAGTAAAAAGTTCTTCGTAGTATTTAATATGGAGCAACATATAATAATTTTGATTTTCACCAAAAATGTAGGTTTTTGATTAGTTGGCCTGGGAAGGGTTTTTTTATGACGTTTTGTTGGACTTTTTGGATATAGTTAGCTAGGTTTTTTGCTCGATTTTGTATTTGAATGAAAATACATTTTGATGAAAAGTTTGTGGGTAGTTTATTAAACTGTTCGTTGCCAACTTGCCCCTCCATAGTCCTTACTGACTTAAAGGATATTTTATGCCTTCTCAAAGACTTTCAAGTTATTGCCTAGAATTGTGTCTCTCTCTTTTTTTTTTTTTTTTTTTTTTTTTTTTTTTTTTTTTTTTTTTTTTTTTTTTTTTTTTTTTTGACATCAATTGCCTAGAATTTTCAGTTGGCCAAAATGTTCAGTGGGAATCACACTGATTGTGAGTTTGGTTGGCTGTGCGGGAACTTAATCTCTGACATTAAAAAGTTAAGTTATGTCGCATTAGGGGATGACATTTTTCCGAGCCCAAACTTGACATTGTTGGGCTGTTTAAATTAGGCTAGGTAAGTAGAGGGGGTAATCCAAACTTTATTTGGTTAAGTAGGTGCTGTTTGTTTGGTTTGGAACTCAACATTGTAGACAATCAATTTAGTGCCAACAGCTGTGACCTTTGGTGGTAGCAGGGAAAGAATTGTCAGAAACCAGCACTCCCATAAGTCCTTCCCCAGTTCCTCACCCTTGTCGTTTGCACTCGTCTAGTTGAATTATTTGAAGAAGGGTGTAGCCGTGTAGGCTGTATGTTTTACAATGAGGAAATCTGAGCTGTTTATAAACCTTAAAGAATTGTAATTGCATGAATTTGTATTATTTTCTTTGCAGTATGGTGAAGCAAGATGAGAGAGTTAAGAAGCAGCAGATGGCAGCTCCCCGTTCTTGATCTCAGCAAGCCTGAACGCTGCAGTTTTGTACATGGTTTTGATTTTGCTGATCCTAATGTTTATTCCTGATCATTTCATGTGGTGCTTCCATCATCACGAAGTTAACCTTCAATCTCATTGTAAGTAGGATTCTTTTGGGAATCAACTAGTCTCCGTTTTGCCTTGCTATCCTAGCTCTTCACTCGTGCTGCTGTGGATGCGAGTCCCAACTTTTTGTATATGTATCTTATTTATCCGACATATTTGAAATTTTAATGAATTCTTGAAACAGTTAACTTCATTGTTCATCTATGAATTTGATTCTGACATTCCTACATATATCATATATGATCATATAATGGCTGTAATCAACTCTAAATTCACATGGAAACCTTTGACAAGTCGCACAAACTTTAAACGATGATTATGAGACAAATTTCTTCTTTTTCCATATGTACATCTGTACTTTGTATTTTAGATTGAATATCCAAAACTTCTTTCTTACATATGTACTTTGTACTAGTATTTTAGATTGAATATCCAATGCTAAGAAGACTAAACTCCCTTTTATTTTTGACAAATTAATTTTACTGCATGGTACTATGTACTACGGTTTTTTTTTTTGCTCATGTGTCGGATCTTTGAAACATATAGGTAAAAAAAATAATTGTATTTGTAAGGTATAATCGATTATACTTTAAGATATTTAGAAATCTCAAGTAATAAATATACAAAAATATATGCTCAATAAACCATAAAAGTAATAAATATACATGCTCAATAAACCATACTATTATAAGATTACTTTACAATTTGTAAATCATTTAGTTGTCTTGTTCAAATTTTTGTATTTAAAAATGTGATATATGCTCAATAAACCATAATACGTATTATTATAAGATTACTTTACAATATGTAAATCATTTAGTTGTCTTGTTCTAACTTTTTTATTTAAAAATGTAGTGGGTGGTGGATTTATCTCTTGGCTACTAATACTATCTTCAAACCAAAGCAACTTTTAATGATAGAACATCTTAAGCAATGATTATATATGGACCACATCATTTACCATACTTTTGTTGTGATCTCAAATTCTCTTAGCCCACAAAGATCCTCTTGTTAATAATGATTTCAATTGTGTGATTAGTTTAGTACTAGAAAGATTAACATGGAATACCACTGCTTATTTACTTAGTTAAAGTTTTAGGTGGTGTTAATTTATTTTAATTACTGGTAAACCTTTTTTTTACTGCCTAAAGAAGCTGTAACTATCAATTTAACTTTTGCTTTTAGTGGAATGACATACATGTTTTATCCATTAATATCAATTTAACTTTGGTAAATGAACAGCTATTTGTAGGTTGGAACATGGAAGTGCATTCCATGAGAGAACGAATGTAGACAAACTTTATCTTTTTAATCTTTATTTATCTCTGGTGCATAGCGAACCACAAAAGGTACGGTGGTGATGTATACGAATACGATACTTGTGAAGTTATGAGTAACTTTTGTATACATCTGGTGTATAGTAATTTACTATATATTGGGGTCATATTTACGATTTTTTAGCTAACTTCTATCAATAAAGTATAAATAATTTGTAACTTCTCACCAAAAAAAAAAAAAAATTGTAACTTTTATTTATATCAAAATAACTTCTATTCATATTAGGGTAACTTTTGCTTATTTTAGGATAATTTTATAACGAATGTACAATATATTATTGTACATCCAATTAATTCAAAAGTTTGTCGTAATACAGAGTAACATATTAACAATACGGAGTATGAATTTTAGCCTTTTTTTTTTCACCAAAGAGAAATGTAATTAGGAAAATTATAAACTGAAGAGTAATATGATTGTTCAATTATCCTGTTGCGTGCATGATAATAATCGATTTGGTCCAGTCCGATTAAAAGAATACTACTACGGAGGATTTCCACGAATACATGCAATGAAAAGAACTGTGATACTATTGTATCAAGAATGGTTACACTTAAAATTATCTTCATTTTATTGGGGTCAAGTCACGACTTCTTTTTTAGGGTCAAATGTTTAACTTTATAACAAAATAATTAGATGTCTCCAAAGAACCTATAACAAAATAATTTTAAAAGGTGAAATCTATAGGAAAATTAGAAAGAAAGAAAGAAAAACAAAGGTTCAATTAATGTCATATTATGTAAGTGTATATATATGTGTGTTAAAAGTAAATATCTTGTTAGTGGCATGTGTATAAGTCTTTGAAGGCATTAGTAGTTCTTAAAAAGAGGATTTTTAACTAATCCACACATAAACGTACAGGTAAGAAGTGAAAATAAATAACTATAGATAGGTAAACGTTCAACTTCAATACCGTTAGCTAAAATAATAGATTGATACAATTTCTTAGGAAAAAAACTCAAATCCAATAATTAATTTGTTAAATCAATAAAAGTGATTTCCTTCAAAAAAAATCAACAAGGTTAACCACTTGATGTTACATAGATAAATTAAAAGTCTTGACTTATTGAGAAAACCTCACATGTTGCCATCACTCCCCTTCAAAAATGTCATAATTTTGTTCTCCACTTTCGAGTTTACAATGAGAAAAAAGGATGTCGTCGTAGACTCAATCAAATTGTGTTTTAAGTCAAAATGACTAGCTATCTACCCATCTTATAACACCCTAAGGCATGCTTTGGTATTATACAGCCTTCACAATAACAAACATTGTTGACGTGGGTCCAAAATTTTTCTTTATGCTAACGGGCCCAACACATTTCACACAAATTTAGTCTACGTAAAGCCATAGAGGTGTCAATTTGAATCATCAGTCATCAGTCGAGTTCAAGTCTAGCTCAATTAATATGAGTACTTTGCTATTGTATAGTACGAGTATTATTATTATTTTTAGTTTCTGTAAAAATTTCCTAATGCTTACTTTTGATTGGCCCATGCATTTACTTTATACTGTATTTTTAATGTTACAAAGTATCTTCTTAACTTATTTGATAATCACTCTTTAATTACTTTTTTGCGTTAGTATTCGGTACCAATAAGAAATAAACCTGCATCTTAGTTAGGGTTCTGATCCGATCTTTTGGTAACTTTACAATTTAGTGATTTGCTTCTTCCTTTACTAATTAAAATGTGAATTAGAATTTTCATGAAAACATTATACGTAGTAATAGACTTGGTTGACAAAAACATACAAAATGATATATTACACCGATTTCATTAAAAACAACCAATGCTTTAGGTGTAATAACACTATATATAAATTAAACAATCAACATCAAGAAAGATGTGATTGATCAATTAAGAACTTCCATTACCTAAATGAGACCCTAGAATACCTAATTGGTGATTAGAATCATCTCTTAGAACAACTACAGACTACCATAAACACGTTTCCAAAATAACCATGTTATTGAACCAGACACATTCTCAAGCTAGACTTCAGCTTTGTATTTTGAAATTGATTCGAAATCATGTATTTTAAGAGTTTAACCATTTATTTTATTGATACAAAGATTATTACATCCTTCAATCTTAGATTTTCGGGTTCCAGAAGGATAGAGTGGTCCGACAAAGTTTAATTTATTATTAAATGGAACCATGTTTTGACCCACCTTTACTTCTCCTGTAACTGATAATTTTTATGCATTAAGTCACCTACATTTGTCTATGTCACACACTCACGCTTGCTATGCCCTGTCTTATGTGGAAATGCTCATAAGACGAGTCATGATGCTACCCCATACTGGCTATATATAGACCATTTTTTTTATTTTATTTAAAGGATGAGGTGTTTTCACACCTTGTTCCGTCCTTTGGCTACAACAGTGCAATTCCTGTGCCTAAATTCTTGGCCCCTGGCCTTTGATGTACTTGATAATTTTTGCCTACCTTCCATGACTTCTGTACTTGGTAACTTTATTAACGTTCCTTAGCTTGATTATGCAAAATGTATTTAAAGAAACTACTCCCTATTTTATATGAATTCGCACTTAGAATGTTGTGTTGGACAACATGTACACTTAGTCACTTGTATAGATACATTACATGTTACACTAAAGACATAAGTTCAATTTCAAACGCGTGCAAGCCGTGCATCATATATATAAAGTGTTGCGTGCACAACATGATTGTGAACACACTCGCACTACACCTAGATGAATACATGCAGCACCTGGATCATAAAAACTAGTGTTTCCGCAATTACATCTTCAATTCAAATTAAAAGGTTTAACTTGAACAAAATTTCTCTATGAAGTTTTTCACCAAAAAGAAGAAAATAATCCGAATTAGGCAATTCGGAGCTTCGATCATGCGTAGTAGGAGTGAGGACAAACATTAATGTGCAATATCTTTGGGGCCCTTTTATTTACACGCGAGAAAATCAGAAAATAAATAGGCACGTGCGACACACACATGCTAGCCTTGTAGGAGGATAGGTAAGAAATTCATGATTTTTATAAAAAAAGAAAAAAAATAAAATAAAAAATAATGTTAAGAGTGATGGGAATGAAGGAGACAAAGTGATGTTCTCTCTACAATAATATTAAAATGTGGACCTCACATCATCTTCTTGGCTTTTCGGGGAGTTCCTCTACAAAATTCATCTCCTAACCATGTTTTTCTTTTTCAAGATGCCTACCTACCTAGCTTATCTATGTGTAGTATATAGTCTTCCTTTTTTGCCCTTGTTATTTTGATTGTGCTAGTATAAGTTTAAGGACAATATGGTAATTTCCATCTTTAGGTTGTTGTTGACTCCGTATTGAATTGAAGGATATCAAGTATGGACAATGCATAATGTTTTAGACTGCATGTAAGAAGCATGGCTAAGCTAATACCTAATTAAGTAATTAACCTAATTAGTTAGTTCTTTTAGAGAGCGGATTGTCAATTTTTGTATTGGATTGGACCTTAGTCATATTGAAATAAAAGGAAATTTACTTCCTTGATCGTGAATTAAAAGAGGTAATATGTACATGCAACCACGTACTAAATCGATCCGTTTCTAGAAGCCAAGTATATGTCTTATGAAATACCTACTAGAAGATACACTTAGTTATAAACGCGATTGTAACTATATAAGATCATTAATGCAAATGTGATATAGAATCGGCATTTTTGCCAAATAATGTATAATATATATACTTTATCAATCTAAGTTTGCCTCGTTGATTTTCTTTGCTTTGTTAATGCATGTCTCATTATTCCAATATTACTAATATATATCCGATCCTATTCTTTCAATATGCACAAATGATTCATGTTAGCCGCATGCCCGCATCCATCATTTTGATGTATCATCTTGTAGACTTGCATGGCGGTACACTTTCATATTGTCATGTACGGAGTATAACTACTTTATGTTGGTCCATATTCATTTTCGTACAATTTTTTTCTTATATTCTTTATAATGTAAGGTACAACAATGCTATCTTATACTTCCTCCGATTCTTTTTAGTTGACACGTTTCTTTAGTCATATTTGCTAATGTACAAATTTAGGTTATGTTCTCATACGTTTATTTTCAGTTCGGTTCAATTCATTTCAGTTCAGTTCAATTCAGTTCGGCTCCTAATTTCCTTCTCTTATAAAATATTCATTTCAATTCAGTTCAGTTCAGCTGAGTTCAATCAATGAGAACATGCCCTTAATCATTAATATCTTTAATTAATGACAAGTAAAAATTATAAAAAGTTGATATTTTGAAAATATATATGGTGATGAAGAAACTAACAAGATCTCGTACAATTATATTTTTCATTACTGATAAAGCACAAAATACTATCAAAGGAGAGTGAGTGAATAGTGCTAAAATCAAAACGTATCAACTAAAACACGGAGATCATATGGTGCAGTATTTAATACCACCTACTTCGTATTATTTACAAGTATAACATTTCGAGTTCTTGCATGCTCATATAATTGTGCAAAATAGCTGCAAGGCCCACGGAATTTTAAGACTTGGCCAATTGGCCACAACTCATGGCACCAAAAGTTCCACAAAGAATTGGCCATCATTATGCTTTATTTTATACATCACAATGCAAAGTAAATATATAATTGTCACATGTATGATTAATTGTTGTCTTAGAATTTATTTATTTGTTCCACTGTCATTTTCTGCAACAAATTAAGGAGTATTAATTTAAGACAATACTCTGATTGGAAATGAAGTAGAAATCATGAAGTATTTAACCTGAAGATGATGATTCTTTTGTCTTTAATTAAGAACAACAATAATCATTAAAATTGGTAATTGCTCATCATGACAAATGTAAATAATTAACCTTTTACTCAAAGTCAAAACATAGATAATAGCAAAAGTTACCATATTTAACGTATGAAAATATACAGTAATTAAATTTACCTAATTAGCTGAATAATTAGTACACCTTCTAGGGTCATAATCTCATATTTTTCACTTGAGGTGGGGATGGGAGACAAAAAGAGCATCTTGTTAATTTTGAATTTCTGGCGCCATCTAATCATGGTTTGTTAAACTAAGTAACATTATAAAATAAGCTTAAGATAATTAACTACGTAAAGTTAGGTAGTCTAGAGAATGACATGTAGTATAATCCTTGTCCAAAGTATTTTCCCCTCGTTTGGTATATTACTATTGATTATAAAGCACAAAGTTTTATATGTGCCTGGCAATCGAGGTTATTTTATCATGATATTGAGAGAGTGAGGGATAGCCCAAGTGGTTAGAGCTTCCCTCCCGGTTTCAGGAGATCCTGAGATCGATTCTCACCCCACCCTTGTGGCTCTCTAACACCAAAAAATATTGAAAAGTTAATCGGTTGGTCAAGGGTTATTTGGTGCTCAATGAGTTACTTAATCAGTCAAAAGTTAATCGGACAGGGATTACTCGATCGATCATAGGTTACTTGGTTGGTCAAGGATTACTGATCAGTCGCTCAAGAGTTACTCGGTCTGTTATCGTGTTTGTTACTCGGCCGAACAAGGAATACCCGATTAATGTTTTGGTGTGGTCAACTGGCCATGCAGAAAAATGCTAATTGGCAAAATTGGCTTTATATTAAAAGACAAAAGAGATTAAATGAATGTGTTTTCCTTAATAAAAGTAAGTTTCAAGCTTAATTAGATATAATTAAGGTTAATCATTTAGGGTCTGTTCACATTTACTGAACTAAGCTAAACTGAATTGAACTGAACTGAACTGAACTGATTGGAGCTGAGCTGAACTGAACTGAAATTGATAATGGTTAAACAATAATACTACGAGTAATAGATAAATTCATCAACATTTATAATATAAGCAATAATACAAACATGCATGTTTTCAACATTTTGATTTTATGAAATAGTCTATCTTCCTATTCATTACCATTATACAGAGTAATTGATTTTATGAACTGAACTGAACTGAATTGAACTGAGTTGAAATGAATATTTTATGAGAGAGGGAAATTAGAAGCTGAACTAAACTGAACGGATTAGAACTGAAATTAAGTAAATGTGAACACGTCCTAAGTCTAATCGAGTGCTAGCACAAGGTGAATCAAGAATTAATATTGACAAACAAAATACGTTTTAGCATTTTATATATTCTTTGGGATACATATATATATATACACACACACACACACATATATAGTTGGGATTAGAGACTAAGGGCTTGGTCACATTTATTGAACTGAGCTGAACTGAACTGATTAGAGCTGACTGAACTGAGATGAAATGAATATCTTATGAGAGAGGGAAATTAGGAGCTGAATTGAATTGAACTTATTGGAGCTGAATTGAACTGAAATTAAGTAAATGTGAATATGCCCTAAGAGATGACTGGTTGATGATTTGTTTTTGAGATAAATTTAAAGAAGATATTCCAATTTCCTTAAATAGTAATAATCCCTAAATCCAATGGAATCATTCCCTAATGTATTGTTCTGACAAATCCTAAAGTGATTACTATTTATATAATATGATCCATTTATTAAAATAACATTAATCAATTTTCATCTCATTTTTTTTAGTGGTGTGCCAAAAGAAAAAAAAAAAGAAAAGAAAAAAGAAAAGATAAATACTTAAAAGAGAAGCAGAGGAAACATGGGTGGGAACTTGAAATTTGCTTTCTCGGATCCTGCGTGAAACAATTTTCACAATAACATTAACACATACCCATCAATATTGATGGCCAAAGATAAAGGAAACAAAGGAATGATGAAAAAGGAGAAAAAGATAAAGAAAATAAAATATTATTTTATTTTATTTTGGGTAAAATACATTAAAGAAAATCCAATGATAAATAAAACAGTATTGAAGCAAAGCAGACAAAACTACAATAACTTTCAAGATAGATACATGTGAGAAGCAAAACCACAAACAAATAGGATGAAATTTTACTTAAAACATCTCAAAGATTTCAGTAGAGTATCACTATCTAAGAGCTTTCAATTCTAATGTTTGGCCAAGATTGTTTTGTTAGGGAGTTATGGATGTGGTCATGTGAACAATTCTACTATGGAGTACGTGATATTATTTTGACATGATATGAATATGATAATGAAATTTATGATAATAAAATTTATAAGTAGTGATTAAAATATGTCATTAAATTATAGGACTACCGACCATCTTAGTAATCTGACCTACTGTACATAAACTCTTATTAGTAGCTAATAGGTTAAGTTCTCATTAGTCTCTTTGCCTATCATAATTTAATATACGTGATCTGGTATGTATTACATTGTACACAGTTAAACAGTTTTAGGTAACACTTTACTTTACTTGATTTATCCGTTTGACATACATGAACATATATGCTATAGACAACATTGTAACATAAGAATTATGCATTCTATTAGATGTTCTCTACACCTTCTCATGAACCACCAAAAAAAGAAAAAAGTCATATTGATTGATATGATATCACCCATGCCAATCAAAAACAAGAATAGTTTTTGAAATAGTAGTGATATTCAACCTCACTATTCAAAATAAGAGGTAAATAGGTAGGTGGTGATGGTTGTTAATAGAAAGAAAGAAAGAAAAATGAGAAAAAAAAAATACAAAATCATGTTATTTCTTTTTTGGTTATCTTTTTGTCAATCTATATCACACTCTCTCTTCTCCAACTCTCAGTCCCACTCAAACCAAAAACTCATGATGAAACACCCTCTGCACCCTGCACTCCAAAAAAGCACCATTTCTTCTCTTACTAGATTTTCTACTATTACTCATTTTTCTTCTACTATTTCTCATCATCATAATTATCTTCATTTTCTTTCTTCCCTTAAATTTACCTTCTTTCACTTCTTTTCTTCCACACTTAGATTTTTCATCACTCAAAAACCATGAAATTCTCTTCTTCTCTGTTTTCCTCTGTTTTTCTCTGTTCATTCCTCACCATTTTCCCCTTACTAATTCAATCACAAACACCCACATTTCAAAAATCCCAAATCCCAATTCAAGTTCTTTCTCTTCTATCCCTTAAATCTTCACTCAAAGATCCTCAAGATTCCCTAAAAAGTTGGGATCCTACCCCAATTTTATCAAATTCTTCCCCTGTTTCTCCCCATCATTCCCCTGTTTGGTGTTCTTGGTCAGGAATCAAATGTGCCCTTAATTCCTCCTTAATCATCTCTTTAGACCTCTCTTCGCGTAATCTCTCCGGCGATATCCCACCAGATATCCGCCATTTATACTCTCTTAGCACCCTCAATTTGAGCAAGAACTCATTTGAGGGTAATTTTCCCACCTCAATTTTTGAATTATCAGAGCTTAGAATCCTTGACATAAACCATAACAACTATAACTCAACTTTTCCTCTAGGACTTTCTAAGCTCAAATTCCTTACACATTTCAATGGTTATAGCAACAGCTTCATCGGCCCTTTACCACTTGATCTCCCAGACATCCAGCACCTCGAGTACCTTAACCTCGGAGGCAGCTACTTTTCGGGCGGTATTCCAGCAGAGTATGGCAATATTCCTAGCCTAAACTTTCTTGATTTAGCAGGAAACAGCCTAAATGGTACAATACCACCAGAACTTGCTTCTTTGATTCAGCTTGAGCATCTTGAAATGGGGTATAACAATTTTGAAGGGTCTTTACCAATTGAGTTGGGTATGTTATCCAACTTACAATACTTAGACATCTCAAATTGTAGCTTATCTGGGAATATACCCCAAGAAATTGGGAACTTAAGAAACTTAACTGCATTGTTGTTGTTTTCCAACGACTTTTCTGGTGTGATCCCATCTAGCCTATCCAACTTGAAAAGACTACAATGTCTTGATTTATCAGGTAACCGCCTTTCGGGTTCGATTCCTGAGTATATTTCAGAGCTCAAAGAGCTGAATGTACTAAGTTTGTTGAGCAATGAGTTAAGTGGGGAAATTCCACAAGGTGTTGGTGAGCTTCCAATGCTTGAGTTCCTTCTTCTTTGGAATAATGACCTTAATGGGTCATTGCCTTCTAGTCTTGGTACCAATGGAAAATTGGTTAAACTGGACGTTTCCTCGAACCGCCTCACCGGGGTTTTGCCGGAGCAATTGTGCTCTAACAACACCTTAGAGAAGCTAATTCTGTTCAACAATCAGTTTACTGGTGAGTTACCAACATCACTTGTGAATTGCACTTCATTAGTGAGGGTAAGAATTCAGAATAACTTGTTTAATGGAAGTATCCCAACTGGGTTTGGACACTTGCCTAATCTTGTTTTTATGGATGTTAGTAAAAATAATTTTAGTGGGAACATTCCCAATGATCTTGGGATTGCACCCAAATTGATGAATTTGAATGTTTCAGAGAATTTTTTTAGTGGGGAATTACCAAATGGGATTTGGGGTAGTCCTAGTTTGCAGATTTTCTCAGCTTCTTTTTGTGGGATTTCTGGGAATATCCCAGATTTTAATGGGTGCAAAAGTTTGTACCAAATTGAGATGGAAGGGAACAATTTAAAGGGTACAATCCCTTGGAATATAGGGCACTGTGAGAAGTTGATTTCCTTAAATTTGAGGAAAAATATGTTGACAGGAATTATTCCTTGGGAAATTTCTACTCTTCCTTCTATTAATATTGTTGATCTTTCTTATAATAATCTTAGTGGGAGTATTCCTTCTAATTTTGATAATTGTAGAACTCTGGAGACTTTTAATGTGTCATTTAATCTTTTGACGGGGTCTATAGTCTCTATACCATCTTCTGGGTCGATTTTTCCTAATTTGAATGCATCATCATTTATGGGTAATGAGGGGTTGTGTGGTAATTTGATTGGGAAGCCGTGTTTGTCGGGTTCTCCTGTGGCCGGAGCATCGGATATGGAGGATAAGAAGCCTAAGAAGACCGCGGGGGCTATTGTTTGGATCATGGCCGCAGCATTTGGGGTTGGACTATTTGTGTTGATTGCCGGTAGTAGGTGTTTTCATGCCAATTATAGCCGTAAAATATCCGAGGGTAAGGAGATTGGTCCGTGGAAGTTGACCGCCTTCCAACGATTGAACTTCACCGCGGATGATGTGTTGGAGTGCTTGGCAATGAGTGATAAGATCATCGGAATGGGGGCCACCGGGACAGTGTATAGGGCGGAGATGCCTAGTGGCGAGATCATAGCAATCAAAAAGTTATGGGGCAAGCAAAAAGAGACGTTGAGGAGGCGAAGAGGGGTGCTTGCCGAGGTGGAGGTGCTAGGCAATGTAAGGCATAGGAACATTGTAAGGTTGTTAGGTTGTTGTTGTAATAGAGAAAGCACATTGTTGCTCTATGAGTACATGCCTAATGGGAGTTTAGATGATTTGTTGCATGGCAAGGTCAAAGGAGAAAATCTAATAGCAGATTGGCTTACTAGGTACAAGATTGCCCTTGGCGTGGCTCAAGGCATATGTTATCTACACCACGATTGCGATCCAGTCATTGTTCATCGCGATCTAAAACCTAGCAACATCCTCCTAGACGCCGAAATGGAGGCAAGGGTGGCCGATTTTGGGGTGGCCAAGCTCATACAAAGCGACGAGTCTATGTCCGTCATTGCTGGATCATACGGCTACATTGCACCCGGTATAGCTCTTCTCCTTCACTCTTAACACTTAAATTTGTTTTAAAAACACCATTAATTTAATTAACTAACTAACTAACTAACCTAAAATTTGAAAATACTCAATCATGCATGTGGTCCAAAGTGTAATGGTATGTCAGAGTGTGTATAACATACAACAAGTATGCTATTTATTCAAACATTTGGAAGCATGCTTCTTTTTGTACAATTTGGTGACAGACGAAAATTAAAACTACCCATAAATGGAAATTTGGAATACTATATAAACTATATGTGATGTTGATTCATCAAACAAATAAAGTTATAGTGCAAACACCAAAAATTCCTTATTGTCATTTGTCAGTGAACTGACTCAGCAACTCGTTAACTCAGTGTTATATTTAGTGGCATATACTACAATTTTACACAGTAGTGGCTCTTTCAACTGTTACGCGTGATGTTGCTTTTTCTTGCTTTTTTTCTTTCAAAATCATTTAAATTTGGACCTACTCACCATTTTGTCAAACACTTAGTTTGTAATAATCTTTGGTGCAATATATTGCATTGACTCATTTTTAGCACCTTTTTATTAGTTAATTTCATGGTTAAGGTTAAATTAAAAAAACAAAAAAAAAAAGTTGTCTTCTTGTTTGTATTCACTAAGCTTGTAAGCCCCACTAATTACTTAGGTGAATTCAATTAACCTTAAGTAAAAGCTAAGTTTAGTAATCTTTATGTTTTCAACTTTTTTTTGTACTAAAGTATTGTTTGTGTTTGGATGATGCAGAGTATGCTTATACGTTACAAGTTGATGAAAAGAGTGACATCTATAGTTACGGGGTGGTACTATTGGAGATATTGAGCGGAAAAAGATCGGTACACCCAGAGTTTGGTGAAGGAAATAGTGTTGTAGATTGGGTTCGTACCAAAATTAAGGCAAAAAATGGGATCAGTGATGTCCTAGACAAAAATGCAGGGGCGTCGTGTGCATCAGTAAGAGAGGAGATGATGCTTGTACTTAGAGTCGCGTTACTTTGTACAAGTCGGAACCCTGCTGATAGGCCATCCATGAGGGATGTTATATCAATGTTGCAAGAAGCCAAGCCTAAGAGAAAATCTCCTAGTCTAGGAAGAGGTGATAGTGGTGATCATGTAATAGAAATTGGTGGTTGTGTTGATGTTCATGACAATGTTGGTGCACCTCCTTTAGGTGAAAAGAAGTAAAGAAATTAAATTATGTTAATATTAGTACTAATCTTTTTTTTTTTTTTCTAATTATTATTTTCTATTTTTTGGGTTTTTTTTTTCAATTTCTGATTCAAATTGTGGGGGGTGGTATAGAAATAGTTTTTATGAAGTGATTTTTGATGGAAATTTGAGGCAATGATTTTGTTCTAGTACTAATTGTAACAAAGTATTGTTTGATGTGGCCAGCTTGTGCTTTTTTAGAGGTGATAATTATATTGCAGATTTATTCAAAAAGCAAATATAAATCCATTCATTACTATTGTAGCTAGAATTAGTCAAAAGAAATTATGAAGTTAGCTTAAAAAAGGTTATTTCCTTTCGGTTTGAGAATTATCAAGTGCACACAGTATATCTCTAGAAGATGAAATGATAAGTACACTCTAGATTTCTAGCTGTGGATGTCTATCTATCATCCCCCACCAGGCCGAGCACTGCAGCTGCACGTCGATGGTGCAGTGCTCGGATGCTGGCTCTTGGATAGGCTTTGGTGATCGCCATGCTTTTAAATGTAGCAAGACTCGAGTACTATTATGAGGCGACTTATATAATGCTCTTATGCTCTAGCTCAATCATGTATATATATTTATAGAATTTTGATATAATTCTTTCAAAATTTGGCCTTTGTAAGACCCATCATCATACAAAATTTCAGCCTCACCACTTTTGGGGGCAATTTTAGATATAGACATAGCATGCAAGAACAATATGATCAATTGATACATAACAAATAAATTAAGAGACATTTAACATAGAAAAAATTAAAGCTGTCTCCTTGTTTTTGAAAGTTCTCATAAGGTGATGTTTACAATTCCTCTGGCTTTCCTCTGGCTCCTTATTTCCCTGTATGAGATGTACTACCAAGCTTTTCTCATGTGCCTGTTCACACAATAAATTACGTTAGACTATTACGGAGTAAGTACGTGCTTATTAACATAGTACGGACTACAAAATACCCTATATATAGTCGTAATTCATACAAATAATAACACATTGATGTTGTAAGTACTGTTTTACTATTAGGAGTACGGTTTGATTATAAGATTGCTTATATCTGAACCTTTTTTTACCACGCTACCATTAAAAATTGAATCCGAGCTAAGACCATACCTCTAGTGACATAACAGATGCAATTTCCTTCTCCAAATCTTGAAAGCATTCCACGTTTTGATTGACAGTATACACAAGCTCCCTTAATGTATTGCTTGCTTTTTCATTCTGCATTCATGCAAGAACAACCCAAACAAAATTAAAAATTTTGAACCAATAATTATGTACAAATAACAGGATATTGAGGTGATTAATTAATTATTAGATAAAAATTAACCTGATTTTGAAGGTCTATGATGGTGTCTTCAATATTTTCTACAACTTCCAAAGCTGATTTCATAGCATCATATACAGAAACTATATCAGCCTGCATACAAAAAGCCAACTTATTTTAAATTAGCAATCAAAATAGTAATTTTCATATCATTATTTTATTGTCATTTAAAAATGCATCTTTCATCGATCCACTGAATTCAATTTTATGATAGAGAATATACGCAAAATATTTTCTTAGCATTCCAGGGTTAAGAAATATGAAACGCACCATTGCACCATCAACTAATGGAAGTTTAGTAGAGTAAGCAGAGAGCTTCCTGGTAACTCTACCAACAGCTTCACAATTTTTTTTCTCCAATTTTTCCCACTCATTGAGAAGCTCAATTTGTGGGCATAAAATTTCAAGAAACTTTACTTTTTTCTTTAGTCTTTCCACTTTCATCCTCTTTTCAGCAATTGCATATCTCATTTTGTATAGTTTCAGCCATACACCAAACACTCTCTCCTGTCAAATATCATGTAGACACAACATAAGCATATCATTTAAAATTTCAAACTATTACTCCATATTCTATAGGTATTAAGCGTTTTGTTTCATTTTATGTCTCATCTTGTGTCTTAACACGTCTTGTTTTTACTCATAACATGGCAATTCATGATCACCACCACCCTTTCACTTTTTCTTTTAATTTTTCCCTTATTGATCACTCATTTCTTTCTATTGTTTTCCCTTACTTTTTGTTACAAGTTGTCTTTCTTTTGTAAATGCAGGATACTTCGTATTTTGATTTTGATAAAAACTAAGAATAAGGGCTAGAAGTTTAAAAAAGGTTTATAGAACTTTAACTATCACAAAGAACTTTATATACTAGTACCTCTTTTTAGAAGATGGGGTGATGAAATTAGTTGGAAATCCCTGTAATGCAATCACATAGCATTAATTAGTTTGTTAACTTGTATTTTTCTTGGATCAAAATCTTAACTAAGCATATATTATTGATTAAGAGGGCAATCCAAAAAAGGGGCTAATGTTGGCTACAATTTACTTATGTTAGTTGGTCAAGTTATATAATGGGTGGGTCATTAGTAGCCAATTTTTATGACAGCCCGAACCTACCACCTGCCCATGAAACAACCCATCTCGTTGTTTCATGGGCCGGTCCTCAACCCGACCTGCCTTAGATTATGTATTTTATCTACTGATCTACATCACTAGCCTTTGTACAAGAAGAAAAAAAAAACGAGACAAGATTTCGAGGGTGGCCAAGGTTAGGAGTTTTCGGTTATGTGATGTGGTGAGCCCTCTACTAAATTTCCTTTACGTTCAATCGTTCTCATATAACAGATAGATCTTGACATATGACTGATATGAGCAATGTCATACATAAATGAAGATGTAAGGGAGGATAAACCAACTGACCTCTGCTTTTCGCCTAACAGTTGCCATAGCAGCCTCAGCCTTAGCATTGGCAAATCTCCATTGAAGCAGCCTACTATGCATAATCTTGTATTGGTGAAATTCTTCCTCTTGAGCTGATGATACCTTCTTCTGCTTATTGAAGTACTTCAGAACCCCACTTACAGTTTTCACCTTAGGTGACTCTGGTGCCAAAGGCGGGGCGGACAATGGACGGCCTGGAGACAGGGCCCATGCAGAGGGGGATTTGATCAAGGACCTTTCTACTGCCTTCGATATTGTGTTATGAGAATTCGACCTAAATAGCCTAGCCAAATTACTCTGGTTTGCATTGTTGTGATCTTCCTTTGAATCCTTGCTATCCAAGCTTAGTCTCCTTCGTGGACTGCCTATGACTTTGGATATAGGAATATTGTTGTAGCTTTCCTCGTCTTTCTCCTCCTTAGTGGCGCTTCTAGTCTTGATTATTGACCTTGTCCGATGAACTGATTGTCTAGGGGATGAGGTGGCAGACCTTGAGGCACGGACCTCAGGAAGAGAAACGGATGAAACCCGGTTTGTGGAACGATATGGGGATGTCCCACGAGACTCTGAAGTGGAAGCAGTTGATGCACCACTGCTGCTACGACTCAAGCGTGGTGAGCGAGGAATTCCAGCAGATTGGGGACGACGAACTTTGGAGTTGGGGGTCATGGGTGTACTAGTTTCCATATCGGGATCGCTTTGTTTGCAGAAAATTGCCATCTTGTTAAGAATAGGAAGACATTTTATGAGATTCAATGAAACCAAGAAACCATAGTGGTGGGAGTGTCGCACAGTTACATCACTTACATGCAAATAGGAGTTGCGGGCACGTTGAGGCATATAATAAATGAGACGGCTTAGTCCATAAGCTTAATATGTCACTTTCATCACTTGTGTCAAGAAAACCACCAAGACAAAATTGTCTATTTATAAGATTTAAATACAGCTAGAGGTTAAGCTGTCATGCTTAGCCTGCAATATGACTAATTCCTTCTTATGAATGGGAGATTTTTCAAAAAGAAGAGAAAACTATCAAGAAACTGCCTAGAAATTCAGTTGAAAAGGGCCGAAGAATCGAAAATCAAACAAACAAAATGTTCAGCAAACAAGACCAGTATGCAGATAACCATGTAACATAACCTTAAAAACAGTGACTCATGCAAGCAAATAACCAACTGATGGCACAGAAGAGCATATACGAATCGTGTAGCTGGCCTGTACGAGAAAGATGAAAATTGAGATGAAAATAAGAGTGGTTAAAATCCATAATCACATGAGCAAATAATAATGTTACTGCAATAACTAACAACAATATTTCTTGATTAGGTTTGCACAGGGGGCTAACCATGAAAACATTCTAGTTCTCAAGTAAAGTTTGAAAGTGAATGAAGCTGAAATTACAAACAAAAGCCTCAAAGTCATATTTCATTGCACTCCAACTTTTAACCACTGCAAGGGGCAAATCATCTACCATGAGCCCTCAGCACCAGCAGTGGGATTCTTGAATGCAGCGTATTCCCAATATGTCTTCAATGAGTAGGGTGGGGAGATTGTCACACCGCCTTCTTCAGTGATCTTTGCAATCTGATATTTTCAAAGTAATATTTAGTTAAAGACATACTCTTCAAATCCTCAAAAGACAGTAAAGGTTTTTTGATAAAGTAGTAAATCACAAACATTTTGGACTACATTATCAAACAGAACTTCTAATCGTCCAAGACATAAACATAGCATTTTGGGAAAGATGAAAACATCCGTCTGAGTATGCAGAAAGGTAATTAAAAAAATAATAATAACAAATAAAAAAAAAATGACTGCATTGACCAGATTTTTAGATATATCTCCAGCATCATTTCTCCCTTAGAGCTGTGTCATTTATAAACATGCATTATCATGATTCTTTATGTTAAAATAATTGACAAAAATGCTTAATCCAAAGGCACAGTTCAAATCTTTTATAATCCAAATAAATTTGAATTTCTCCCAACCCAAAACCATAGAGGGGGAGAAAAGATCCAAGGAAAACCTTTTCACATTCCTCACATGCAAGCGCTTCAAACGAGTAAAATGATTCCCAGTCCTTTTGCCAATTAAATAGACATAATAAGATAGCTCTATAGCACAAGTCCAATATTTCAGGGTTCTTAAAGATTCTCACTTATCAGTAGCACTGTGCTCTAATATTACAATACTATGTGCACATAAAGACTAGTTAGCTCAGACATCTCCTAACATAATGCGTTTTAGGAAAGAGGCATTAAAAACAGGACAATTGAACAAAGCATGCTGCATGTTCCTAAATCAAAACAGTATTTCAACCTAAAACTCAAATGGAGTATTTTATAAGTAGAGATCAATGAGTGCATGTGTAGATAATGAGTCTTTAACAACTTGAAGGATGTGCCTAAGCTACCAAAATGGTGTATCTTTTCAGTTGCTCACGAAATAGAAGAACTTTTTTTTTTGTAGATGGATAGAGAGGCATCTCATCAAAAAGAAACCATGACAAAGATGAACAAACCTGAAGTTTGTTGACCGCAGATCGATCACGGTATAGTAGGACGCGCATGCACTTCTCCAGTAGCCTAACACCATCTTCAAAACTCAGGTCCTCCTTCCATTCATCTCGCAGAATTGGCACTGCAAGATGATTACCAAATCCGGTGGCAACGTGATTGTCTTGATAGTGTACACCAATCATATTAACCTACACAACATGCATCAAAAACATCACACCGTTCAAAATCTTCATTAAAAAATGATAATTATGCTCAGCTACAAAACATTCTAACAGCAACCATCTGTGCATTTAGCTGAAGATAGAAAACTCACTGTTCCAAGGTACTTCTGCCCATTTTTAACACCACCAAGGACAAGAGAGTTCCAAAGTGGATTAAACTTGTTACGCCTATTATACATAACACGAGTCAGGTAGTTGTGCACCTCTTTAGGTCCAAGGGAGTTTCCATCATCCCACATGTTGTCATACAAACTGCAAAGATCAAGGTTAAAAAAAGCAGTTACAGGTCAGGAAAGCAAAAACAAACAAGGCACATCAATGATGGAAGAAGCATAAAGTGATTACTTATACTATAGACCTATTGTATTTTTTGTATAACTATTGTGGGCTTCAAGAGTAACAATTTACAGTCACTTTGGCTCTTGCTACTTGTTGACAGCATATTTCAGCACCAAGTTAAATGTACTTATTGAACAAAAAAAATTCCAACAGGATTATCACTTACATGAGATCATCTAGGTAACGCAGAAGCTCCTGAAAGTCACTTATTTCCCCACTGGCACCAAGAAGAGAGTGCTTCCCAATACCTTTCAATCTCTCCACACTCTTGTAACGCAATGTGGATCCATAGGAACCTGTCATACATGTCAATACTTTGGTTACATAACCGCTAAAAGATAAACCGCTTTACACGTCCCCTTATATTGTGTTTGAGGTTACTCCGGAAAGAGCTTGTTAAACAAACACAGGAAAGATACTACAGGGATGGAAATAATGAACAAATGATGAAGGTATGTCAAGACTCTACAATCATAATCTATAATAGTAGACTATACATACAGTCAGATTGATGACAAAGGCATTGCAAACTATACTCATGTATCAGCCAAAGATGACAGAATACTAGAGCATGCATAGCCAAGTGAGTATTATAAGTTTAACCCCCAACTTCAAGAATATGACTAATATCCAATCATTTTTTTTTTTCTTGATTTTATTTTTAAAGAATCATTGGACATAGTAAGATGAGTGTTTACTTGAGTCCTCACTACTTTTATGCTTTGAGACGTGGATAGGCCTTCAAATGATTACCTCAAAAACACATTTCTTGTACTCAGTACGTAATTATCCCAAAACACTAGAAAGAGCAGCTTCTAAACTTATAATATTTAAGTTGACTCTATATTGTCTATGTACAAACCAAGGAATCCATAGGAAAGTTCTCCAATATTAACATATGACACATCCAGACCACTTAAGTTGTGCAAACGGAGAGTGTCCAACAAATTTAAGTTGTTATCGGCTATATGATAAAAGCCAAATAGATAGTAAAATCTCAAAAGGGGTTGTATCTCAATACTCAAGAGATACATTCTCCATAATAACAACCACATAATGAATCTTACAAATTGCAGGATCAAAAGAGTTGTTCCGAATGTACTTAAACTTAACCCTAATTGCCTTATCATTCAATAAGATAACAACCTCCAAAAAGAAATCACCTTTTCATCCCCTTCCAAGTTCCAACCAATTGAAGTCTATATCTAAATAATCTAATGCTTCATAGAAACCATCTAGCCCTCGCAGTGAAACCCGAACAATAAAATTTTCACAACACTATCATGCGCAAACCCCAAAACCCCAAAAACAAGTATACATTAATCACTCACTGAAGTATATATATAATTGGAAGCATTAAAGAATCGCAAAAACAAAATGAAAAAAATCAAAATCAGACCTCCCATATCAGCAGCAATGAGAATTCCATCCTTGTATTTGATTCCGATAACAGATGTCCCAGTTACATAAGGGTACCTGTTTCATACAAATCACTCAATCAAATTCCATTCCCAATTAACTAATCAATTGAAGTCTAATGTCAAACAACACTATATAAGAACCAAACAATCAAAAATTAATACCCACAACAAATCTTAACCAATCTAGCTTTTACAAAACCCTAATCGACGGAATCTAAGAAATGACCCAAAAAAATGAAATAGAATGAAATGAACCCTTAAAGCAGTGAAATTGGAAGTAGGAGAGAGATAAAAAGGGCATACTGAGTTCGCTGAATGTCGTCGACGAGTAGAGTGCTGGTGTTTTTGGGATCCATTGAAGTAAGATTGTGGAGTTTTCTCTCTCTTGATTTTGGTTTCTCTCTTAATCAGCTTTCTTGCGTATTCTTTTTCCTCAAGAAATCGGAAATTAGCATACTCTGCTTTTATAAAAGTACCTAATTTATGTCCGACATTAAACATGTACACTTAAAAATATTAAGGGGTATAATGGGTATTTTGACTTGAGTAAACATGGGGTATTTTTGGAATTTCCAATATTTTGCTTTTTCTTGTGGGAGTGTTTGCTTTTAGGGCCTCTTTGATTTACTGAGCTGAAGTGAACTAAATTGTATTTTCTCTGTTTTTTTTACTTGCAACACTTCCTTAAAAAGAAAATGTCACAATACTTACAACACACTATAAAAAGAAGGTTACTTTAGGGAAAAATTATATTATATCCCTTATTTAAAGCACATGGCCCACTAAATTACACTTCTAACAACCACTCATCCTATTTTAAAGTTTATTATATCATGTAAACCCCACCTTTCTTAATTACCGCGCTAAAGGGTGTGTTACATCTAAAAGAAAACGGAGGGGAAGTATATGAGTTAAGGGAATTAGGAAATGAACTGATTGGAGCTAAACTAAAATTAAGTTGAAGAGAAACATGCCTTTAATCGAGCAAGCCTAATTAATCTTTTTTATCGTCAAAACTATTAATTTAACGGCATTGTTGTAATATTAAACAACAGTGATCGGATACTAGTTCATAAGCAATCCTACTCATTAGCTGAGATTGTGTCAAATTGAAGTGAAGTTAACGGGGGTTGTAGCATTACTCCACCTACACCATTGAAATTTTCTCCTTCTTCCTTCCCCGATCTCCACCCAACTCCCACTGACACCATCGTTTCCACCATTTTCATCGTGTCAACCTTCCACTAACACCATCTTCCTCGTCTCCGCCATCCATTAACACCACCATTTTCGATAGCTTTGTCATCAAATTAAACGAAAACCTTATAAAGAAGGTGAAATTAAGGGCATGGTAAAAGTTAGAAGGGTGAAGGTGACCCTTTCTATCATTAGAGCCTATGGAATTTACAACAATACTCCAAATAATTTATGATAAAAGTCGATTTTACTCTCTTAGTAAATCAAATAGATCCACTTGTATTTTCTCCTTTTGATATACAACAAATTATATGTTAATCCAACAATTATTTACTAGAAAAAATTAAATTTTGCAAGGAAAAAGTAGAATGATAGCAATATAGAAATCCTTGGTATAATTCTAAGTAGCTAATTTAAGGAGAAAATTCAAGTTTATTACCTTGATAA